CATGCTCTGTCTGCTGCAAATTCAGATGTAGAGGTTTCCCCCCCCCCCTCATTTTTGCATCGTGATGATGCATCTCTGCCAGTACAGGTGAAGCAACAAACTCATTTTCAATTGTTTTATTCCATTAATGCATGAGCATTCAATGAAACGTGTTCACGTACGAGACTCTTCCCAAACCCATCGGCGACACAGTCCACGAATTCTCCGAGAGATAAAGCTTCTCGGACCAAGGCACCTTTAGAGACTCATCGGCTGGATGTCCTGAGGTCTCTCTTCCGCCTGAGCTGGCTTAGAGCGTGACCGGCGCTTTCGTCGCGGACAAAAGGTCGCATGCACTTTTGGTCGCTATATTATACCAAACCAACTTGATTCTGAGCCCATGTGTAAACAAGAGAAAGCCGGGGTGAGCATTCCCCCTCGAGGAATTCTTGTCTAGACAGGGAAAGAAGGAGAGACAAGCCAGACAGTGAAGAGTCACTTTATCTTCCCCAGCATNAGTGACTCTTCACTGTCTGGCTTGTCTCTCCTTCTTTCCCTGTCTAGACAAGAATTCCTCGAGGGGGAATGCTCACCCCGGCTTTCTCTTGTTTACACATGGGCTCAGAATCAAGTTGGTTTGGTATATTTCGTCGCGGGCAAGGATAGTCTCACTGGTGAAAGTGGTGAAAGCGAGGTGAACAAGAGGGTCGAAGGGAACGAGGCCCTGGGGTTCCTGATGGATATCAGCTCGGAAAGGGAAGGGGAGGCAAAGGGTCACAGTCATTCTTGACGCTATTTTCAGTCGTTTTGCGTTCGTATGCGTGCATCTAGAGTCGTGTGAATGGCACTGGAATACCTCGAGACATTCAAAGGTAAATAAAAGCTTCACTATGAAGGGTATCTTTATACTGTAGAGAAGCGACGTTCCGATAAGGTTGCATGGCGATGTGAGCTGCGAAGCTGTAAGGGTAGGCTGCCCACAAGAAATGACGTAGTGACCAAGTCACCCACTGACCACAATCATGCACCCAGTTCTGATCGTGTCCAAGTGGCAAAAGCAGTTTTGCAAGAATTTTGCATTTAACATGATAAAATACATATTTTTAGATGCATTTTAGGGCTTTCATCCAGGAAGTCCGCCAATGCCTTGCTTGGGTCGGGATATTACCACATGAATTCATCCCTGCCCTTGTAATGCCCTCGTGACAAGGAGAATGCGACGTTTTGTCCGCGACGAAAGCGCCGGTAACCGGCTTGGAGCTTCTGGATTGCAGATTCGACCGAGGACTGCTCTTCCTGAAGGGGTCGGATAACCTGGATAATACCAGGGTGCCTCTTTCCCAGAATGTTGTTCTTTGAATGCCAGCCTTCCACAGCATTTGTTGTCCTGTGTTGCCTGTTGTCAGCACGATTCCATCGAGTTCTCTCGAAGTTGGGGGACATACATCTCCCCAGGTCTCTATAAAGTAGTAAAAAAAGTTCTCAGGCTCACTTCATCGGTGCAGGTCTCCATCGCCAGTTGGATAGCGTCATCGAGCTTCGGTAAGGGAATAAGGGGCAAAGCCACGAAGCGCCGAAGGCATCGTCGGACGTCACCATTTGTCCTATACTGGGAGGAAAGTCCAAGATCCTGAATTTTCTTCCAGAAAGCCTTTGTGAAGAGGAAGAAGCACCCCTTAATCGTTGCACAGGGGAGGGATTCAGAGAGCACATCGAGGATCGCCCGCTCAAAATCCACTAACGCACACTTCGGCTTTTGTTCAAGGCCATGCTGTTCAAAGATGTCGTTAACGATGCGGAAAATACGTCGATAGGTGTTCTCGCCTTTATCCGGCAGGAAAGATATTGCCCCTGAACTCAACATGGATCATATAGAGCTGGAAGAACGGTTTCGTGGACGCGTGGAACGTCCCATCCCCGAAGATGGGCTACTTTCCAAAGGTTTTCTGCTGTTCTGAAAATAAGTATTCTCTTCGCTCCGCCTTCCTCTCGTGAAAGGGACGAACATCCAGAGTGAGATGTTCGTCGATGAAACGACACCTGTCCCACATGAGACCGTCTCCCCATGACGGAAAAAAAAAACGTTGTGGCAATAAGCGACTGTTCCCCTTGGATAACTCTGGATATTGCAACTTTTTCTAGGTATATGTATGCATTTCCGGACTGCAGCAGCGAAGTAGGCGTGAACCAACTATTTCGTCCCAGTACAACGGGAGTAGACAGCTACGGGAATAAGCCTCAGGCAGCGAAGGGCTTTAAAGGATCCGGAGCCGAAGAGAAAACCAAGACGAGAGTCCCCCGACCTCATTCGACCCAGGACGAGCCTCGGTGACTCTTCCCGGCTTCGTCCTCTTCATCCCATTCGTTCGATGCTCTAAAGGTGGTATGGCCGACTGAGAGCAACGAACGAAGACTTGGGGCTTCCTCAGACTCGATTTTTCAACGTTCTCGATCTCTTTCGATGCCCAGCGCAATAGATCAGGAAAGAGATGCAAGAAAGGGAAGCAGTGCTTTCTTTCGAGAATTTGGAATATGGTGGCCCTACGTGTTACTTTTCAATTTTTTCTTTCTTTGTTAAAAATTTTCACGGAAAGTTTGGGATTTGTTGGACGAGAAGCTAAAAGGTGCAGAAAAATAAAATGCAAAGAGAAGTTCGAGAGAAAATTATCCTCAAAGGTTGGAAAGGATTTTCCATCGAAGAAACTGGACCGAGAAAAAGCAGACTTGCACTCGGCATTTCCCAGTATGTTAGAAAGCTCTCTCTCTTTTCGAGGAGAAATTCGCACTTCGCATCAAACCCTTTTCCCTACTAGGGTCAAACTATGTCGACGCTTGTAAGTGCATCAGCTATTTAAAAAAATATATACCTAAAACATTTTCATAGCATCACACCTGCACACCTTTGTCGGGAGCTGCTACTGATAGATGCCATGTCCATGGCATCTATCGAAACGGACCGGATCGGCACTGGCAAGGACGCAGACCCCCGGATTACTTCCACTTGATCCGCATAACGGTGGATAGATCCAGAGCAGCGGGAGGAACACCATAGAGAAGGGTTTATCTCCGTTGCCTGACACTTTGTCTACCTAGCTTTCCTTTCTTCTCTTCACCAGCGCCGGTGGGCCCCAGAAGGGGGGGGGAGGGGAAATGAAGAGATAAAGAACGTAACTATCAGCCTCTCACCGCAACCAGCAACGGTGCCATAAAGCAGGGGTGTCAAATTCAAATCGGCATTCCTTACCCTGTGGATGTCTGCGGGTCGCACCCAGAATTTTTCACCGAAATTTGTCATTCACTCAGTTTTCACCGTTCCAACTTTGGGACGCACCAAATGTAAGCTTTGCCAATCGATTGCAGTTGTCAGCATGTACCCGCTTTTAAATTTGCGGACGCACAAGAATTTGTTAGAAACAGGTCCGCAGACATGCGAACAAAATTCGATTGGCAAAGCTTACATTTGGTGCGTCCCAAAGTTGGAACGGTGAAAATTGGTTCATCCCCCCCTCATATCTCCAATACCGGCAGGTGCCGTGGAAGGATTTATTTATATATATATATGTGTGTGTGTGTGTGTGCTATAGCTTTGGAGAGAAAACCGGAGAGTTGAGAGTCACACGACGCAACAGAACGGACCTACCCACTCCACACTTATTACACAGCAGTTGACGCGTGTGCACCCCCGTGCATGCATCGACTCGCACGCAGCCGCAACAGCATCGGCACTGCAGCTGCGTCGTTCGAGACGGCACGCCTGGCTTCGTGGCTCTGCTCTTTAGGCGGCCGAGCGAATGAAGCCGGCTGCCGGTCGTCGAGAGTTCCTCTCGAATCGAATGTCGACAGGGGTCGACGGGGGATCGCCGTCGTCTAATTGCCAACGGTGAAGGAGGGGTGATGCCAACCCTTCGAGGTTAAGTAGGAAGAGATGGCGGGTCGTGTGCTCGACACCTTAGAGCAAGAAAATGTCCTTCCGGCTAGAAACCTGGCAAGACAATGCAGGAACTCTTTTCAAAATGAAGGTTATATTGTTTGTCACCGAAATGTAGCCGTCACCGAAAAATCAGGGGGGAAATATCGTTTGCTTCGGTCCTCGTACTTCAATCCCCCGAGATGAATAAATACGATACGATTTGGATATGTATTTGGCTGGCGTATTTACAAGTAACTCTTTAGATCTTTGCATCGATCGCATGAAGACCCTTGCCCGACAGATGGGACTGAAATTACCTTCAAGCGCTATTCACCTCTAATGAGGATAAGAATAAAAGTGGTCGAGCGATCGCAATGCTGCTCGATGGAATTCACCTCTTCCGGTCGATGGTACGATTCAAATAAGTTACACGGAAGATTCTCGTGACTTGTTAGATTTTAGCTTTCGAGCGGTGGAATCGAGACAGATGCCACGGTTCATCGATGTCGACTGCGCAGCGAGATTTCGGAAAGTGCCGCGTAAGTTGGAAACCTTGGCATTTCTGGCTTGCATGACGAGGCGAAAAATCACCTGCCTCTGCCGATGGGATTTTCGCTGACCCAATTCTATTAGGAAAGTATCTTCTCATTCACTGGAAAAAAAATTTGATGGTTCATTTCGTCCAGATTCTGTTCGCGTTGGCTGCTTCATTGAAGCACTTCCTGATAAATTCCAGGATGTTTTGCATGGAGTACGGACTGAGACCGAAAAGGAAATCTCCCCTTGACCTCCATTTACAAATATATTAAAAGCCGGTTTCCTTCCTGTTCGACAGCACGGTACCCTTCTGCTGCGAGTGCAGGCGTTGTTTACAAGGCAGCAAGGCCAGCGACGTATCATGCGGTCCTAGTCGATATCGGGTCGAGTAAATAATCACAGTAGGGGCTCCAAACGAAGTGGTTCGAGATAAGATGACAGGAGGGGCAGAGACAATCGACGAAGCGTCATCTGGGTGAGAACGAGAGTACTTCTCAGGCATCCGTGTTCCCTCTCTCCGCTATCCATCTCGGTACTCTCAGGCATTCGCGCTCTCCCTTCACTGTCCCGGCGAGCAGTCTCCTGGGGAGACTACTTTCACTCCGTGTTTCCGTCTCGCTCGACTCAGTGAGTCCTCAGCCTCGGGCAGAGTCGTGAGAATGCTCGCGTGGCTCACCGCACGTGGGACCAAGCGTCGTCGATGGATCGCCTGTGGTCTGGGTGTCGGGCTGCCCGTCTTGGTCCTTTTGGCTCTCGTGTTGGCGTGTCTCATCAACGCCTGGAGTGTTTCGGAGCCGGACTGGCACTACCAGCTGAGACCGAGCGGGTCGGGGCATCTCATCAACGATAGCCTGTTCGAGGAGAGGCTGGGACGGTTCCAAGCGGCGCTTCGGATCCCGACCATCTCCGTCGACGCCCGTAACTTGAACGAGAGTGCGCTGGAGGAATTCAAAAACTTCTTACAAACCAGTTAGTCTCGCTTCTCCGTGTTCATCCCATCCTTGAGCCGAAATTCACGTTTGCCATACCCCGTAGGTTTCCCTCGGCTTCACGGCGGCAACGAAGACAAGATCACGTGTGAGGTGGTGAGCAACTACAGCTTCTTGTACGAAATCAAAGGATCGGATGAGAGCTTGACTCCGTATCTTTTGGCGGCTCACCTGGACGTCGTCCCCGTCGAAGAAGACAAATGGAACTACGATCCGTTTGAAGCCATGAAAGATGGTGAATATATTTATGCCAGGGGAGCCTTCGACGACAAGCATGCCGTCATGGTGAGGTCCTATAGCCACTGGAACGGTAGCAACACACTTCGTTTTTATATATTCCGTGGCAAGGGCACAATAGCCCCCCATTTCAGTGGCAAATATTTTTATGCTTTAAAATTGACACATCGTTCGGGGAGGATCCTCCTCTACCTGTTGTGACGCGCAAGTTCTCTTTCCCTTCAGGGCATTTTGGAAGCACTGGACTACTTCCTCTTCACCAAGAACGAATCCGTGAAACGGACCTTCTACGTCGGTATCGGCCACGACGAAGAAGTACGTTCGCCTCCCCGTCGACCACTGCGCTCTTCGAGCGGGAATTAACCATGCCGTTCTGTGGGTTCAGGTGAGCGGGAGGCAGGGGGCGGCGAAGATCGCGGAGGTGCTCCACAACAGGGGCGTGAAGACGATGGATTTCGTCTTGGACGAGGGATTCGTGGTGCTCACCAATGCTCTGCCTGGGGTTCAGGTCCCAGTCGCCCTGTAACGATGGTTTTCGTATTCTCGTTAAATTACACGAATGACTAAAGTAAATTAGAGTTATTATAGAAATTCCCGACGCAATAGGGCTTTCTGTTGTGGCTTTCTCGCAGTCGACAACGAATAATTTGTAACTATGAGATTATTAATGAATGTACAGCTGCAAGCCCTTTTTTTTGGACCTTGTTCACTTTTAAGAGTAGCAGGGCCCTTAGATTCTTCCTTTTTCCCCTCATCATGCTCTAAATGGGGTGGAGACAGTGACGCAACCAAGGGGGGGGGGGGGGGGGTTCAGGGGGTATGAAACCCCTCCAAAACGCCTGCTCATGATATTATCTCTCTATTTCTCCATTCCCCCCTCCCCCGAGGGCGGGGGACACAGGAAAGATATGGGCAAACGACCAGAGAGCGAGGCTGGAAAGGCACACAGATAGGTGAAAGGCGGTCACTCCGGTCACACGAGGCTTTTAGGGTTGCCACCCGTTCATAATAAGTATGGACAGTACAGTACATATTTCAGATGCAATGTCCACACTGCGAACTGGTCCTAATACGGACACCACTTTGTCCATGTTTTAAACTTAAGATATTTATTACTTAATTATTAATATTACTTAATAAAGCTTAATAGGAACTAATATTGCTATTTTCCGTAAGTCAAAAGCAGTAGGCAACTTCATAGTATCGATTGGCGCCTTTGTCTTAAGGTGGCTGTGGGTACATTTCTAATATTTGTCCATATTTTGTTCACTTCAAAGGTGGCAACCCTACTTCTCGCTTTAGTAAAGTGAACAAGTCAAGGATGAGTCCTGCACATGTGACGCTCCTGAATTTTTTTCTGAAAACAGGACGACAATTCAGATAAGGCGTGAATCACGCACAGGTTAACGAATTTCCAGTTGCGTATCTGCGCAGTAAAATTTGAGTGGAATCCCGAAATTAATTTAGTTCATTTTGAGCTTTTTTAAAGATAAGATATTGAACGCGCTTCAGTCATTTAGTCGTTTATATTCCGTTTCCATCGTTTTGAGACTTTTTTTCTTTTATTATTATTTTTTGCTTGCGTGTTCACGCCGTTTAATGTTTTTGTTGAATTCTTCCGATGATTTGATAACGCCTTCTTGCATTCGGAGACTTTTGAAAGACAGGTGATGAGAACTTATCCGAACCCCCACCAAACGTTAGGGCTGGTTGCGCCGCTGAATGGAGGGAAAAACCCTCGGATGTATAAAAATCGTATCCTTTCTGGAGAGGCACATCCAACATTACACTCAAAGCATGGCGAAGTGATACTAATGGAACACCTGGCCTTGTCTTGAATTATGAATTGGAGAATAAGATTTAAGCTTTTCTGAGTTTTGGACCAAGTCTAGTTTGATAGAATGACTTTTTGGATATCGTGGAATGGATATTATAGAATTAACTTTACTAGAAGTTGTAATTCAGGAAGTGAAGTAGCCTATATCTGCAACCAGACAATAATTATATGACTCACCCTAGCTTGTAGTCAGCATCTAAGAAGCAAATTAGTCGCTATCACCATATAAAAGTTCAATAAATTATTTCTCAAATTACTTCATGGATGACTTTTGGTTTTGCAGGGTAGGAGTATCAGAGAAGGGCTATGCAGAAGTATCAGTGAGTGTAGATGGTGTCAGTGGGCACTCAAGTATGCCCCCAAAGGAGAGTGCAATAGGAATCATTTCCAAGGCAGTGTCTCGCCTTGAAGCGTATCCACAGCCTCACTTTTTCGATTCTTCCTCGGTTGAATACACGACTCTTGAAACTGCAGCTCCACATGTATGTCTTCCACAAAATCTTAAGTGAAGGGAAAATTTGAACTAAACTGATTGGGTTAATTTTTTTCGATTTTTCTTTAGTCTTCCTTTCTCTATAAACTGATCTACAGCAACCTGTGGTTGTTCAAAAACATAGTCTCCAATCAGTTCTTGGAATCAGCATCCACAGCAGCGACAGTGCGGACAACAACAGCACCCACACTTTTCAATGCGGGCTACAAGGTTCTCATCAGTTGCAAAATCTTTCATCCTGTACTTTGAGTGTCAAATTTAAATAGGGAAATTCTACATTTTTTAACAGATAAATGTGGTGCCATCAACAGCCACAGCATACATCAACCATCGAGTTCATCCCAAGCAAACCATTGAAGATGTGCTGGAGTATGATAGAGAGGTGATTGGTGATTCTCGAGTGAATGTGACCCTGAACACAGACACATACATCAGACCCCATCCAATTTCTCCCTATGGGCCAGATTCCCCACAGTACAAGTTGCTGGCCAGAAGTATTCTTGAAGTCTTCCCTCAGTCCTTTGTTGCTCCAGGTATGCATGAATATGAATTTCATTAAATTCCTCTAACATGTTAAATTTCAACTTCAATGACTTCTAAAAACTTTGTCTTATGCTTTCAGGGACTATGATAGCCACCACAGATACCAAGTATTATCTCAATTTCTCCAAGAATGTGTACAGATTTGCACCCACATTTCTGGACATAGAAGATATGCCTAGACTGCATGGGCACGATGAGCGAATCCGTGTTGAGAACTACAGAGAAGTGGTGGACTTCTTCTTTCGCCTCATGGTGAATGCCAACCAAGTAAATGCCCGTCCATTACATGTTCATGCACGCAATGAACTCTGATGAGGTTCCAGTCCAAGCCTTGTCTGTCAGCTACTGAATGTAAGACTGAGTACTTAAAAGGTGTAATAACAAGGCCTGAAGCACTGGATTTGGCATTTGTGCTGCTCAACAGAGATATTAACATGATTTTCTCAATTGTGATTCAGTTTTACATCAAAAACCTAAAGTAATGGAGATGAAACCATACAGGTCAGTCACTCAGTAGCAATTGCTTTACACATGTTTGGTGTGGTTTTCCTCATCACCCATCCGTCAGGGTAATAGGTTAGATCACACCAAAAAATATTTATTTTTGCACCATCATGTCATGGTAGGTATGTTGGCTTTTATCCTACCAGCCTGAATGATTTGATAGGTGCAACAGGTCAGATAGTTTTGAAGAGAGCAACTCCATTGAGAGATACTGTACAAGTCCTTTTTAATGCTGCTGTGATATGTTGTACAGTTGGGTTGTTACTCTTTCCAGAATAAAGAAATATCACTGACGGTATGCCTGGTTTCTCTTTGTTGCAGGATTTTTCCTGATGGAACTTGCTGAGAGTTGAAGTCATGAATTCTTTGCTCAAAAGTACCCCTCATAACCAATGGACAGCATCTAGTCCTTAAGGCTTGTGATATTCACGGTTCCAAGATTTTGCATAAAACAGCGTGCAGCTTATCAAATATATTTTTGATCAAACAAAATAGACAATAAAAAGCATCTTCAGCAAATATGAGAATTTTGAGCTAATTTCATGCAAAGCAAGGAAGCACAGGCACTTGGAGGTAATTGGGATCTTGAGCAAGATTCTCCCTCAATGTGGAGGGTGGAAAGGATATTCAGGGTGATCATATGCTCTGTTGGAAAAAGCATACATATTCATACATGACCATATTACATTTGCAAAATAATTACAGAAGGTTGAGTGATACTCACGGCTTGAAGAATGCTCCAAAGTCAAAGCTCCGTCCAGTCCGGCCTTGGTCCAGCTCATCCAGCCTTGCCATGTCATCATCACTGATGGTGATGTCAAAGATTTTCATGTTCTCCTGGATCCGATTTGGGTTTGTAGACTTTGGAATGACAATTATGTCCAACTGGGTCAAATATCTCAGGAGCAATTGTGCAGGAGACTTTCCATATTTTTGAGATATCATTATCACCAACGGATCATTCAGCAGGTTAGGAAGGCTACTGGGACTACAGGAATAACCATGAAGCCACACTTTCATGAAATCAAGAGATAAGATATGTCTAACCAACTCACTCTTGTCCCCTTTCCTTAATGATTTCCTTGCGGCCAGGTGAGCAGAAGGGGGCATAGGCTGTGACAGAGATATTGTGCTCTTTGCAGAATTCTCGCAGGGGCTTCTGCATGAAGTATGCATGCAGTTCCACCTGGATGTTTGCAGGTGGGATGCGGGCCACACTCAAGATCCTCTTCAACTGGTCGGTATTATAATTGCTGACTCCGATTGCCTTGGTTCGTCCAGCATCGACTTCTGCTTCCATAGCCTGATGTGAAAAGAAAAATTAGAGTTATTGAACCTCCTTTGAGATAAGCAGAACATAAACAACCAAGGCCATATGAAACAGAAAATGTAAGAAAGCCCAAGCTACCTTCCAGACTGATATGATATCAGTTTTCATATCCAGAGCAAATGTCCCATCTTGGTTTTGAGGGAAGAGTTCCTTGTCACTTCGCTTTTCCATCCCAAATGCACAGTGAACCAAATAAAGGTCAACATATTCAAGCTCAAGTGCTTCCAGAGATTTCTCCATAAAATGCATGACGTCCTTGGCCCGGTTCCCAATCATTGGCAGCTGGAAAACAGATCCCAGTGTTCAAGAATGTGCTCTCTATCACATGCGAATGAATTTGATGAGTGGAACCTTGGTGACAATGAAGAGTTCCTCCCTCTTGATCTTTCCAGAGTTCATCCATTTCTGCAAGGTCTTCCCAATGGCTGCTTCATTCTCATACAAATATGCAGTGTCGATGTGGCGGTATCCAGCTTCCAGTGCCACATCAAGAGTGTTCTCCACTTCCTCTGGTTTGGCCTGAACCATCAGAAGTGGAAGGGTAGGCCTAACTTTAAAATGTGACATGATAAAGGAAGCATACATAACATCGGTGCAATATTGCACAACAGAGATTCGTAAGATCTGCTTCGAACGAGGAACCCGAACTTACCATAAAAGTTCCAAGGCCAATAATGGGCATTTCTGCCCCAGACGACAACTTGATTCCAGGAATCACAGGCTTTAGAGTGGGCCTAGCTTGCGGCTTCATCCTCCTTGGTTCGGCGTAATAGACAAAAGGGGTCAGGCACTTTCGCGAGCGGGAAATACAGAACTGCAAATTGAGACGTTGGCTTATCCCCACAAGGCGATGGGCAAGGAGTATTGAAACTGGCACCTGCTTGCAAAGCACTCCATCGCATTCACATCAAAACTTCATGAGACCTTTAAAATATGACTAAAGTAAGCCTCTGCCTAAGGTACGAAAGAGGATCCCGTGAAATGAGCATAAGTACGACGACGTGACCACATGGGAGTCGCGATGGACAGCAGCGTTCCGCCATCTCTACTTTGGCCTTCCCAGCGGCCGTCAACATGGCGGTGTACTAGTACCGCGAAAACACGTGCCCACTACTTATATTTCACCTGTTAGGGCCTGCATTGCTGGAAGGATCGATAACGCTGAACCTGATCAGTTGTAAAACTTAGATGATATCGACGCACAGTACGTGACCAGTCTGCTTGTGGAAAGATGAGGTGAGCTCCCGGAATAGGCGCTAGCCACGAGTCACTGACGTGGCGCGTTGTTGACGTCAATGGTTTTGATCATTTGCATGGAACATCGCAAATTAAAATTTTCCCATGGGATAGGGTGAAGATCGAGCTCGGTGACGTTACTCCCCACAACATCAAGCAATTGAAGAGGCTCAATCAAGTTGTCTTCCCTGTGTCGTACAACGACAAATTCTATAAGGATGTCTTAGAAGCTGGAGAGCTTGCAAAATTGGGTAAGCCCATGAAGAACCTAGCCAATTAATCCCTAATGTCCTTTGGAAACTAGCTCAAATTTCAAGGTTTTGGAGCTCCAGTATTGTCTCATTGTGCAAGACTTTCTTCCATCCAGCATACTACAATGACATTGTGGTGGGGGCTGTCTGCTGTCGCATTGACACCTCCGAAAACCAAAGGAAGTTGTACATCATGACTCTGGGGTGCTTGGCTCCCTACCGTAGACAAGGGATCGGAACCAAGATGCTGGAACACATCATGAACTTTGTCCAGAAGGATGGAAACTTTGATAACATTTTCTTGTGAGAGATTCTTTCATTGTACCTCTGTAAAAAAAAAATGTCATTCAACCCAAGTGACTACTAGAGACAAGAATGGATAGAATGTTTGGTCAAACTTATTCAAATCCAAATTGATTTTTGTTGCTTTATAAAACACAAAGTCATTAAAATTAACTTCTTTAAAACTCAGATAACAGGGAGCATTCCCAATGCAAAAATGTCATAGTCAAGTGAAAAATACTGTAGAATATACTAATATATACTTTCCTTCAGGAATTTAGAGAAATTTAGCAGATGCATGGTTGAAGAATACCATCATATCAGTGCTGGTTAACATATGTTTTGGTTACAAGATTATTTAGTGTGTAAATAGGTACTCTAATGAAAATGGGTAAGAAATGATTCATAACTAGCAAAACTGAGTGTGACCATGGCAACTCTTGAAAGGCATTGGTTTTGGTACCTTTGGAATTTGTGGAAATCATTGAGTTTACAATAGAATTGTCAATAGGACTTAGTTATGGCATGTATTCAAAGAATTTTTAAATCCTACCAATATAAAAATAATTCCTTGTACAGTCTACTTTAGCTTGAGTGCATAACTTCTTTTTATTGTTGTTTTCTCAGCAGCTCACTTGCAATCCCTTTCAAGTGTCAACACAAAATATGACATTTGTTTCATTGCGCTGCTTGTTTATGCTCCCTTGCTTGTCTTTACAGGCATGTGCAGGTGAACAATGAGAGTGCAATTGAGTTTTACAAGAAATTTGGATTTGAAATTGTGGAGACGAAAGAACACTACTATAAGCGCATTGAACCAGCAGATGCACATGTGCTCCAGAAGAACCTCAAGAAGAGTGCTGAACCGGTCCACGAAGATGTCAGGAAAAAGAACCGCAATGAGCGGGTGAACGGAGTGAAAGAATCGGAGCCATGATGTTGTACCTGACTTTTAGGCTATGTTAGGATGCCCCTCTATGATTGTGATGTCCAAGTCATCCCAGCCTGGTCGGGTGCATCTCGTCATGGGTTTGGTTGTGTGGGACCGTGTGAAGGATGTGTGAATCATTATCCCCCTGGTCATTCTTAATTAATGAATGGAATGCAATCTTGGAGGATACATCTGTTCTTTCATAGATGCCATTCTATTCTCTGTGGTGTCAGCAACCACATGTGTGATCTTTGTTGATATATCAGAATCACAAGACAATGTAAAAATATTGCATGTGGAGAGAGTAATTTTTAGGTGGGTTGATAAAACCATCTGACTCAAGTTTGGTCTTGACAAGAAGGAGAGCACATGCCTCAACTGAGCAGCTAATGAGGACTCTGCCTGTATTTACACAATATTCTCTGCTGCTCCTCATGATAGAGGTTAGAATAGCCATAAAATCTGTAGGACATTGAAACATTGCTCTTTTTATTTATTTATTTATTCAGAGACCACTTTGCAGAGTTGGCCATTTTCCATGCTCTCGGTGACTTCAGAGTTGCCTAGGGTTGTTTCAGTGATGAAATGAGTGCAAAGTATGATCCTCCATATTTGCTCCTTTATGGTGTCTTGAGTTTGGCAGTTGAGTCCCAGGCCTGTTCAATAAATTTCATACAACTATAGAATTAGGCTACTGGGCCAGGAGAAGTAACACAACTGCTCACATGATGCACACTCCATGTCTTTGCACATTGACACTGATGCTAACCTTTGAGGATTATTTTCAGGATCTCTGGAAAGGATAGGAAAAATGCTTGTCCTTGCTGCTCAGTTCAGATGGCCAGCAACTCAGATCAAAGCATTGGTACTCCATGTTAATGATCCATGGAAGAACAACACCAAGTGTGAATGCCTTCACCATATTCTGAGTTCCAACTTGGTTATATTAGTGTCATTCCACGGGTATGGCATACAACCTCAAACTTTGAACTTCCACAAGAGGTATTATAATTAGTATGATGATGTGACTACTTAGATTTCACTAAAATACAGGGGTTTTCAAACTGGGGGGTACTACAGAACAGTAAGGTTTAAATGCACAAACTTCATTTAGACAAGATAAGGCCTTTAAGCACTTTTTCCTCTTAGGAATCCATGTATTCTTAATCCTTTGGGGTCTGAGTATTTTGGATAAGTCAGCACTGTCATCCAAGTATTTTCCATCTCTCATCATGACATTAACACAAGATAACTTGGGCATGGACCCCAAAGGGTTAAAGGACCATTAACTAAAGGAGGTTTGTGCATTCAGGTTTAAGTTTTTCTGCTTATGAACCTTTTTTGATGTATTTACAGTGTTTTTCACTTGAGTCAGACATTTTTTCACTTGACTTCAACACTCAGGCATGAGTGTTGAAGTCAAGTGAATTTGTTCATGTCCCATGAACATGTGTCAAGTGAAATGCTGTCTAACTCAAGTGAAAAACACTGTAAAAATAAAGCTTTGCTGGTACTCTTTCCAGTTTCTTTTTCTCATGACAATAACTTTATTCTGTTTTTAAACTCATCTCCATGAGTATAGAAGAAAAACTACATATACACTCTTTTGCTCAAAACTTTTCTATCTCATCTCACCAGTGTCATGTTGTCATGTCAGATTTAAGGGGGATTGGAGGCTTGAAGGAGCCTCCCTCCTTTTCTTGTCCTACTACTTTGCAATATTTTTACATTGTCTTGTGATTCTGATATATCAACAAAGATCACACATGTGGTTGCTGACACCACAGAGAATAGAATGGCATCTATGAAAGAACAGATGTATCCTCCAAGATTGCATTCCATTGTTCTTCTTTTTTTTTTTTTTTTTTTTTTTCCTGGAATGCAATACTAAATATGGGTTGGCCTAATCCAGTAGTGCAGATCTGGTTTCTCCCTTTCATTTTCATCTGTTCTTCATTATCCTGAGTCACAACACTCTTGAAGTGAATACAGTGATGCTCTCCTGGTAATTTCTCATATTTTGGAAAATAGAGTGATCCAATGTAAGGAAAATTTGAATCGTTTTTAACTCCTGTGTTTTACATTTTTTGTGAGCCAATGTGAGTGCTAAGTGTTGTGGTGGCACTCTGGTTTTTCATAGAGAAGTTTTTGAAAAGATAACCTGGAGACATAAAAGATCTCAGTCCTCCAGCTGGGGCAAAACATCTCAAGATTAGAAAATACAGTCAAGATTATTTGGAACTTGGTATCACCTCAACAGTTGTTGAAAAGAGGCCACAATGCATTGAATGTTTCTCTTTGTTAGCTGCTGATAGCATGAACTCCAATAAATTAAAGTGCCATCTTAAAACAAAGCATTGGGATTGCCTTGCCAAGCCCTGAGAAAATTTTGAGCAAAAGCTGCTTGAATTGACAAAGCAGAAATCTTCCATGACAAAGGCAGCTACTAAGCTCACAAAAAGCTTTGCAAGCTTCTTATGAAATGTCCTACTGAATTGTGCAACGTAAAAAGCTGCATACCACATATGCGTGAATCACTGATTATGCCTGCAGCAGTTGACATATGTAGAATAATCCTTGGTGAGGCATCTGCACAGCAGCTTCACAACATCCCACTTTCAAACGACACTGTTGGGAGAGGAAGTGATGACATGGCTAAGGACATGTGACCAGCTGGTGGGTAGACTGAAAGGTAGTTAATTCATTTTGCAATTGGATGAAGCTACTGATTCAGCCTAGATTACCTTGATTACCTTTGTTTGCTACACTTGACAAAAAACATTGTTGGAGGACATTCTGTTCTGCAAGAAAGTTGTTGAAAGAACAAGGGCTGAAGTGTCCCAAACCATTGATGATTTATTAAAAATGCACAAATTGGAATGGTGTTTTTGTGTTGGTTTGTGCACAGACAGTGTACCATCAATAGCAGGAAAGAATGAGGAGCTCCAGGTGTTAGTGAAGAAAGATCCTCTGATTCAATGGGCTAATTTTGCATGCTTCATCAGTAAGCTCTGACATCTAGAGAAATGATTGGAGATTTTGGTGAAGTTACACAGGCAGTCATCCAGATGGTGAACTATACAAAGATGAATCCACTGAAGGCTCATTTCTTTGCCACCAATGTGCAGAAATGGGGGCTGAACATAGGCACTTCTATTCTACTGTGAGGCTTGATGGCTTTCTCAGGTCAAAGTTTTTCAGTGAGTTTTTGAACTTTGAGAAGAGATGTGTCTTTTTTGGAGGGTTCTTATCATGCATTGTCAAAACCCTATATCTAGCTCAAGCTAGCTTACCTTGCTGATGTTTTTGAAAAGCTTAATGACCTCTACATGTCCCTTCAAGGCCCAGATGCACTCATTATTCTGCTTTCATGAGGAAGCTCCACCTTTGGCATTGTAAGGTGGAAAATTGTATGTTTGATGTGTTTGCTGTGCTTCAAGTTTTTGCTGAAGAGAATGAGATGAATATTAACCTGATTCAGTCTTGTAATATTGGCCACCTAATGGCACTTCAGGAGAACTTCAAAAACTACTTTCAAGGTATGGACATGAAGAAGTCCTCCTGGGTCAGCAATCTGATTTGCAGCAACTTGGATTGAGCTTCTAGATTTTGCATCAAAGAGGAGCAGCTGATAAAATGCTCCTGTGACAGTTCTTTCAGGCAATCCTTGTCAAATTTTTGGCTTTGTGTCAAGTAGAGAAATACCAACAACTATGAGGATTCTGCTTCCTTTTGCTTCATCTTACTTTGTGAGACTGGGTTCTCTGCCCTGGCTGCAATCAAGACCAAATATGGATCCAATATGGCAGTTGACGATGAGCATCGTGTTGCTATTTCTTTTGTCGAGCCAAGATTTGATAAGTCTTGCTCCAAGAAGCAAGCTCATCACTCACACTAAATTTCCTGACATAATTCAAAATTTTCTGTGGCCCCAGATACTGACTTGAACTGCAGTGATCCTGTTTTTATTTTCATTAATGTATAACGAACAGTTTTTTTAAAATTAAAATTGAGGCACAAGCTTGTGCCATCATTTTTTTTTTTCAGGAAGAAGGGTGGGTGCAACACTAAGCCAGGGAGGCACCTGCATGAAAAGTTTGAGAACTGTTTGACAATGGGTTTCACATCAAACTGAAGTTATTTGTGCTAGGATAGGAAGACCCACATTTTTTGCTTTGCATAATAGTATTGGGAAAAAACTTCCTAGGGTCAGTCATCCTACAAGCATGGCCTGGCCTTGGATAGTCCAATGTAACCCTTTATAAGGCAAAACTCTGGGATATCAAAATAAAATTATTACTATGAGTGTAACCATCATGTAGACATGATGAATGGGCAAGTTTGAAAAGTGGTATGTGTTTTTACCAGAGAATGTTTGGAGAAGTCATCTAGGACATTAAGGTTCATTTGGAATAGGAATCTAATGGGAAAGTAGCCATAATGACAGACTGTAAGTATACTTATCAGTAACCTATAAAGGGTTAAGATAGGAACAACTGATGCTAACATTTAAATACTTCCCATGTGACATGTCTCTGGCAACTTGCACCTTCAGAAGACCATGTTATTCACTATGCAGTTGTGAGATGAGGCTGCAATCATCTATCCAGACAGGAAAAGTTGAAGTGACACTCAAGACAGAATACATACACTTTGGTCTCATTAGCTATAACAAAGCTGAATTTGTCATATGTTTCAGAAGGCACCAACAACAGAGCAAAGGTCTGTTTTGTACCTCTCTTCTCCTTCCATCCTTAATCCCTGTCATATGATGAGATCAGCCCCCAAAATGTTATGATTTTTTAGGACCTCTCCTCATATCCCTGAACAAACTGAAGGCAAGTCTGCTTACCCCTTTCCTGGTCTGTGGCATGATTTAACACCATCCCTTTCCCAACAGTTAAGGGTTCATGACAGGTTTTGTGCCATGGTACAGGCTTCTGTTCTGGAGGCTCCTACCATATTCTTGATTCATCTTGGACTACAACAACTTAGCAATACATCTATATTGTTCGTTCTTCAACTAAATGTCGTAACAGTTGGGAAAGAGACAGCGTTAAATCACGTCATGGACTGGGAAAGGGTTAATTCAGAGGATGAACAACTTTACCCTAGACTAGTGACTTCCATGGACAGGTAGTTCTCCAGATGAATGCATTAAAAATTACCCAAAGAACAGTTTCAGTTTTACTATTCAATTTGGTTTAATTTCACCTGCTCCATTTTATTAATATATTTACGTAATAAGTACTCCCTCTGTCCAGAAATGATTGTCCTGTTTCACTTTTTCTTGAAAATTAAGGCTGGCTTGGGGCATTAATAAATTCTGCTTATGTAACAAAATAGTCTTCGGTGTCCTCTATAGCTCATATAGATTTGAGCATTTGGACTCCTTTTAAGGTGCAGTTTTGGGAGCCGAAAAATTCTTATTTGTAAGAGTTTTTGAACCACACCGATTAGTCCAAAATTACATCAATGGAAATTCTCGCTTCAGCACCTTGGGGAGGAGAGTCACTACTGCACATTACATCCCCGTAGCCCGTGCCCTCGATTGATCAACGGCAGCAACCAACAGAAAACCTCATGGAGACCGAATCCCTGGCGACAAAAAAAAACCTTACCAACGACCAGCGGCGCGCGATATACGACTTTCTTTTGTCGGGTATACGCGACAAAAGAAAGACGTTGCTATAGCCACGATGGAAACCTGAAGTATGGGTCGTGGGTCGGAAAGGACAAACTTACGCGTTTGGGCCGCCTACCGCTTAATTTGCTGTGCCCTATGGATGTTGTAAAATCTGCTCAAGAGTCCCTTTAAATAAACCCTTAACTCCCTTACAAGATCTTTATTGAGAAACAAATTCATTGGCTTCGCTTCACTGCATGTCAATGCAGGGTGAATACTATTGCCACAATGGTGGGACAAAGGTTACTTATGACATGGGGAAGTGTGTCCCTGTTGAGCCACCAAGTGAGTCCAGTTCTTTTATTGGGCTCATCAACAACTACAAAATCTATAGTCACCAAGAGTCGTCAGTCGAAGTGTCTGCCAAACCATCAGGCGCGTTCTTCTTTAGTTAAGAGTCGAAAACCAGAAACAGGACAATCATTTCTGGACAAATAAAAATGGGAAACAGGACAATCATTTCTGGACAGAGGGAGTACAAAATAGTTATAGAGCCACTCCGACTCTTCACTCTCTCAAGCACAAAAATAGAGGGAGTATGGTTCAACCCACAGTTGAATTGGCCCTTCAAGCAATTGGAACATGACCTATAAAAATGGGGTATGAATCCTGAATTGCAATTATGAATAAGTCTTATAGAATCATAAGTTTTCAACTGATCAAAGTCACTATCTATTAACACATCAACGCAACATGAAAAGAGAGCTAATAATGAATGGAATTCAAATTCTTCATCAATTCTCATTCTCCCTCATCCAGTAAGTGCAAGCACCCTGAGATTCATAAGAACACATTCACTGCCAAGACCCTCATCACAAGAGAGTCCCTCATGACTGATGAAACAAGACCATGCCTGGCAAGAACATATTTCATCCATAGTTGTGTTTTCAAAGCTTTTATAGGTGCTTTCCCATGTCATCAGTTGTATATGTTACTTTGTGTGAATCTCATCCAACTGCCCCAACAGAAAAATCTGCATTGATTTGGTGAGATGCAAATGTCAGGGGGTTTTAGGACTTACATTTATGCTCTAACTTCTTTACATTCAGCACGACTTCATTTTTGCACTGAATGCAAGATAGAAAGGAGAGAAAAAAGTGATACTCAGCACATTCACCTCCTTGGTGGGTTAATAATGGGCTTTATTCCAGATAGAACTTTAGTTCCCATCTTCTCACGGAATTGGTTTACAGAACACATGCTAAAACTATGTGTACTCCATCTGCATCTGTGATATCTTACCCTGTGGAACCAATTCATTTGGAAACTTTAATAAATGGTGTTTTCATGGAAATTTCAAAATAAGTTAAACATTATTAGCATTTATTGTTTTCAAAAAAACACATGAGCATTTTTCAAACCCTGATCAAAAATGGAATAATTTGTACAGGGTAAAAATTAAACAAGTAGCCCTAGAGTGTATATCAAAATATCCCAATCCCAAGAATGGATGTACAAGAAAGGCCTACACCAGGGCCATAATATCTTCCCTGACCCTTGACACCAATTCTCCCCAATGGTCAATGGCCTTTCATATTTCTTGACCTACTAATTGGGGTCAAGATGCTTGAGGAGACAACTACTCAAGTCCTCCCCTAACCATGGAGGCACACATAATTGGGGAGGATTGAAACCAGCAAATTCTCTCTTTTCCCTGTGACTACAGCGACCAAAATGGGAGGTGGGGCTGTTGATACCAATTGGAAGTGTAGGTATTCCCCTGGATTTGACTTCACTTGACCATTTGTACACTTCGATTTACCTGTACAGTTGAAGTCCAAATGAAATTGCTGGAGGCATGAAGATTCTTTTGACCCTCATAGCACACTTTTAGAACTTGAATCCTTCTGAACTAAACCCTTCAAAAGGTGAGTTTTTTTTTAACAGTTGTGAGCACTGCTGGGTTGGATTTTTTGGGCAAAATACAAACTTTGGGAAAAAATACACTTATATAACACATAATACTAATATGCAGCATACATATATATATGGCAGTACCATAGCGCAGTAACTTAAAAAAATGTATCCCATTCAGCAAATTCATGATTATCATATATGTAAATATCAGTACCTATTAAAGGGTTAAGGCTCCAGCTTTTGAATTTTATTATAGGTGCCACTTCTCATAGTATAAACAATAACAACAATTGCATATATCTGGGAAAAGGAAGCCTGACCCTAAATGGAAAAATCTTAAGTTTGTCCTTTGATTACTTTTCAGCTCAAGTTCATTCCAAAATCGATAGCCAATCCCTCTCACCTAAGGAAATGGTTTGTGATTGAGAGCCCCACTTCCTCCCTAATGCGAACAAGATTTGATATTTCTCTAAAATATTCTCCATAAGTAGCCATGCATCAGAATTACAAGAATGGGCATAGCAAGCCTGGGTCAGATTCATGGAAGTCACTGTCACTTCAACAGAGTAACTTCAAGTTGTATGATGCCTTAATGTATGCAAGAAAGAAGCTATGTAGGGAATTAAGCAATTGAGAAGTTCCCATTGAAAACATATATTTTTACTGGGGTAGGCCTATCTTATATTAGAAAGGAAAGGGGTTTGGATCAGTGTTCAACCTTAACTTAGGATTTCAATAAGAGCAGAAATGGCTCTTGGCCTCCCAGCTCAAGCCTAGAACTATCCTTTTTTGAGATAAAAAATAGGGTTTTATATTTTTCTCCAGCTATTTATAGCTGACAGCAAAAAAGATACCTATTTCCTTCAGCATTTAATACAACTAGGCCAAAGACAAGGAAGGGAATGGCTTAATTTCCCTGAATCAATGAGTTATGATAATACTAAATATGACTTTGTGGGCATGACATTCTATGCAGTAACCTAAATTGAAAAAGTGATAGAGATGTTAATTAGGTACTTCCAGCAGTATTTTGCAATCCCCACTCATCAATATTGTTTTCAACAGGAACTCTCTTGAAATTACATCACATCTCATTTTAAATCCTAAGACAGGACTCCCACAGGCAAAGTGTTAATTGGAAGTTTAAAGGCTTTAATAATCCCTAGAAGTCTGAGAGCCAAGAATAAGACGAGTGATTGAAGTGTTTTGGACAAGGATTGAGATCCTGGATTAAGATATTTAAAGACTGGAACAGGGATAAACATCATTCAAGGCTGAAGTTCTACTCTCCAATTGTATCAGAGCTGTTTCTTGTTTGGTAAGAGTTGTTATAGTACTTGTACTTGGAATTCCAATAAAAAAGAGCAATCACAAATTTTACAAGGACCAGGAGCTTGATATGAGAGGAAGAGAAGAGCCTGGACTTTATGAAAAAGAGATGATATTTATTGGGAGCTAGTGACAGGTGATTGGGTGAGTGGCAACCCAGAAAAATTACAAAAAAAAGAGAAAACTGAATTGCACAAATGGATAAGTGAACTCAAAGCATGTAGACTAAGAAAAACTAAAATTGATTCTCATGTAAGCAATAGCATGCCTGGACATTGAGGAATATCTTTATATAAGTTGGTCAGTTGATGTTGAAAGACCGAGTAACTCCTAGCAACAGGCTTCACCCAGCTGTCAGGTGGGCCATGTTGGCCATGTTGAACACATTTGTGTCAGTGACTTTGAAAAATTCCCATAGCCCTCCCTGTTTGACAGTCGATTGCAATTCAGTTCTGTCCTCAAAATTACTTTAGACTGAGATAGGAAACTTGTTATCCCTCAAACTCCATAGTATACTCCCAGGATTTACATAAGAGCATACAAGCATCTAACCATGCCTGGATTCATCAGCATAGGAGATAACCTGCCTCATCCTCGAACCAATGGACATCACTGAAAACTCAATAGTGAAGTGTCTTAGAAAAGGATATGCTTTAAAACAAATATGACCACCCCTTCTGTCATGTTACTTGGCTCATCGTTAATATCTAAAAACAGAGAAAATTCTTACACTGTAATTACCAAAAAATAAAATTCGACACAAGTGATGGCCTGCAACTACATATGACACAAAGACATGCAAAGAATATAACATACATCTTGAATTCTGGCATCTTTGGAATGATAAATATGATCACAATACATACAGAGGTCTCCAGGAACTGAGGGATATAATATCCTTTGTAGGCAACGTGTATCCCGGTGAGTTTCTGGGAAAGAAAAGGCCCTGTACCATAATCTACAACAATTGAACCAGAATGATATTCATTGTTCTAATGGCCGGTTATGATAGCACCATGAGTTGAAAGATAGATTTAGGCCTGAATAAATCTCATTGATAGCAGAATGGAAAAGCAACCAATAGCATCTTGCACAAAAAGATCACAGAGCCTAATAAGAGAACTTATGGGCTCTGCCATGAGATGCCCATCTTTTGCACATGTGAAGCCATATGATGAAGACAAGAAATACAAGAACTCAGAGATACCAATAATCTAGGTCTAAGGTGTTGCAGCTGAGGTGCCCAAAAGGCCAAGGAGTATCCGGATGTGTTGGATGCACTCCATGGAACCAGCATGGGCTTCCTTGCTTGACTGGAACATAACCAACATTATTTTTCCTCAATGCAGACCTGAGTGTCACTGATATCATGAACTTAAAAAAAAAAGAGAGTAAAAGACTGACCTGTGAAAAATTGAGAAATCCATGAGGGAGCATTTCCGGCAGGATGTCAAGTGCAACCTGGACATTAAGAGCCCTCAGGCGTTTTGCAAACATCACACAGTCATCCAGGCACGGGTCAAGATGCACCGTCTAAAAACCCAAGTAAAAAATTAAGCAAAAGGGAAAAGAAAGGCATCCAATGTAGAACAGCTGCCAAATTGCTTACAAGAAGATGGGTGGGAGGAAACTTCATGAGAAGGTCATCAGAAGCCAAATACGGAGATATGAAAGGATCACGAGACACCTGGAACTTCTTGAATTCTACTGCAGGGCTTACTGGTCCCAAAGAATCAAAGTTAGCAGCCATCGCAGGAAATTTTCCCAATGTTGGAAAGCTCACTCTTCTGAGGAGAAAGAATGCAGATTAGCTTGGCCCTATTAACATGAGTGTGATTGAAGAACATGATGATAAGTTCAGAACTCACTTTCTGTCCACAGGGATACCAAGAACAGGTTGTCCTCTGCTCCTCCACCCAGTAAATGTATCTTTGATGCTCCTTGCAGCGGCTCCAATACGTTTTGAGAATGAATGGCTAAGATCCTGGGGAAACTCAAAGAGGACATGTTCATCTGTGTCAGATTCCAAGGACTCTGCCCTCACGACATGCACCTTCTGACCCATCGAATCTGTCTCTGAATCCAAGACATACTTCTCAAGGAAGTCATCCACATATTCCTGCGATGTCAACTCAGGTTTTTCATCCCCTGGGCTTGGGTCCGAGGCCAAGGACAGGGATACAGAGGCCATGGTTGCCATGTCCTGCATGTCAGACTCGCTCACTTCCACAAATGATTCAGTGTCACTGGGAGAACAAGTTCCTGAACCAGGTGAAGTCTTCAGCATATCTTGTCCAACTGGTAGGATTGTGTTTGGTTCATCCACCTCTTTCGGAGAACCATTGGGAATGGGCAGAGGAAGACGGCTTTCCTCTTGTAGTTGCCTGAAGATGGGCTCTTCAGCAGTATGACCAGCATATGCTAAGAATGGAAGATGATAATCATGATGCTGCCATGTCCAGTTATTGAAAAAACAACTTTAATTATCAAAGGACTATTGAAATCAAATTGAGATAGCTCAATAGTTTGCAGCTCACCTTTCAGGCACTTCATTAAAACTCCAAATGGTAGAAGGGGATCCATGAGGCACAAGAGGCGTGAGGGTGAAGGGATGAACTGAATTAAATTTGGGGCATAAATAAGAAAAATTCCTGTTGGTATTCTCACACCCAGCTTGATGCACTTCATAGTGATACCATTCACGAGGTTCCCACCAGCTGAGTCTCCTAAAATGCACAGAAAATTGTAATTAGCATGCATCAGGAAAGAGTTATTTGGTCTTTATGAGGATGACAACCTCCTCACCAACAAGGACAACTCTCTCAGCAGTGGAGCCAAGAAGATGTGCATTGCGAAGTGCCCAACAATATGCATAGAACACTTCTTCAAGAGCTCTTGGATAAGGGGCCTCTGGGGCAAGGCTGTAATCGATGGAGAAGATAGGGACTTCCAATTTAGCAGCCCATTCACGAAGATATATCTCATGGGATGCTGAAGTGCAAGCAATGAACCCGCCCCCATGGCAATGAATCACAAGGCTGGAAGTTGTAGGCAGCACCATATGTTTCCTGTTTTCTCCTTTTGAACTTACCTAGTCACACAAGCAGAAACTCATTTGAGTAAGAGTTCAATGGGCATATTCAATCCAAGATATACCAATCACCTTCAAACTAGGGCTACATAGTCAACTTCAATAGATGGATCATGAATTATATATACATGACAGAATGGTTTTGTATGAACTTCATCAAGACCTAAAAAAAATCCAGTATTTAGAGGAGAGAAGCAATCTGACAGGTGTCCAGTCACAGAAGCATGACAATATTTAAATTAGACATTAGCACGTGCACACACACACACAATACACAATCACAGAGATCATGCACTCACATACTTTACATTTACTTGGAACATGCCAGAACTGACCATTCCTTCCCTCCAGTGGGAAGAGAGTAAACGACATGGGATGGCACGTGAGTCCCCGTGAGCAGTTGGAATGGGAATGGATACCATACCACGTGAGTCAGCCTTTGGCATCTCCAATGGTTCTGGTGGCACAGCTATCACCTTATTCACTGCTATTGCTGGACATACCACCCCAGGTAGCTGGGAGAGCAGTTCTGGAGATAGAGATTCCATTCATAGCATATAATAAATGCAAGTCCTCTTATAGACTCACAAAATATGAGCCTGTAGGAACTCAAATAAAATTCTTAGAAAATCCAGAAAATTGGCAAAAATCCAAATTGAGTCACTGGACACCTTCTTTCAGCCATGTAGTTGAAGATGAAACATTATTAGTACATCTATCTATATGTCAGCATAATTAATAAAGAAAAACATACCACTGTCAGCAAGGAGCCAAAAGGATTTGCAGAAATCTACAGTGGCATTCTGGGAAAGGTTCACAATCCTCCTTGCACGATACTCTGGATCCAGCCAGCACCTTCCTCCTAAATTATGAAAAATATACAGCATGAAATCTTGATACAGCCAGAAGATGCCAATTAGAAAATGAAGTTGCACATGTGAATTCACCTAAACTAATTACATACCACAGGATTGAGTCCTAAAATGCAGTAATACTTTCAAAATATGATGAAAAGCATGAGCAAACATTGAAGCAGTGAGATCATAACCACACAATTGCATTAGGATTTTGTTCATGGATATGTTGCCTCTGGTTTGCAATGTATCTTTTACTACTAAGAGCAGTTTTCATGTTAACAAAAAATAAGAAACAGCACAACATTTCATAATTTTGGAATTAGCTACAATCATAATGCAACTAGGAAATCCAGAACATGCTTTGAAGAGTCTGCAAAATATATACCTTGAAGTCATATATTTCTGCTACTGGTAGTTTGTAGCAAAACAATTTTAAAGCAAATATTTGCTTAATGGAGTTACAAAAAGCCTCACACTGTCTTTACTGACTGTCTAATCCTCAGTAGCCCATCCATGGGAAGAGGCATATAAATACTGTACATGGGATTCCTCACATGCCTATCTAATGTACCTCGACCTGCAAGAACTGGTAACCAAAATTGCTTACAAATTGTTTAAAAAAAACAGCAAAAAAAAAAAACAAGTGTGAGAATGATCTCTGCTCCCTTTTGGTTATATGCAATTGATAGTGGGTAGTTTAACTAAGTTTCAAATAGTTAGGAATTCAAATGGTTTAGAGAAGCAAAAAACTGAACTCTGTGAAGCCAAAGCTCTAAAATGGGCTTTAATTTGGTGGTGGTGGTGGTCAGGATATCATAAGGGTTCAGGTTGAGCTGGAGATGACTCGTTCTAGGGCTGCCATGGAAACACAGTCAGTTCTTTTATTAAATCTCCCTGCTTCAGTTATTAGACCAAATCAAGCAGATCTTCCAAGATTTAAGCAGTTTGCATGAGAGCCTATCACCTAAAATACATGAAGCTTCAAGCACTAGGCTAACCTGCAAGAATAGATTGAGTAGTCCGACTGAAGATGGACCCAGAATTGTAGTAGACTTCACTGAAAGAAGCCATTGAGAGGCTCACCATTTTCAAGGCTCTCCTCATTGAGTTCACAAACTGACAACCAAAATACCACCAAAGAATAGTGAAGCTTGCAACACTAGTCTATGATGTTTTCAGATTGGCTTTCCACACCTTGAACGTGCACCTGGTGGTACAATCAAATCAAGCCTAATGACATCTAAAGACCTAAAGGACATGAAGTTATTGTTCAAACATGCCAAGCTGCCCATAACAATACAAGTAACAGCTACACTTCAAAGAATTGTTAGTCCTGATGCTAATGACCATAGTAAATGATGGATTACATGTTATAGGCGTGCAAAGTCAATTTGAAAACACTGAAGCCTCTATCCACATGTATGCCTCAGCTTTGATATAAATGCTTGACAATGATCATGAAGCAAACCTGAAATCCCAGACAGCGGCCATAAAAACAATATTGATTGAGGTTTGTAGCTTCCAATAGGAGTTCTTCAGGCGAATGATAGTCAGATGGGAAAAGGCACCCCTTTTCACTCCAACTGTGCAGTCTCTTCAAGAATTCAAAGAGTTGTGTCAAGGATGCCAGCACTTGACCCCAAGCTTCCACTTCTCTGAAAAAATAGAACACACTGTCAGAATAAAACCTAAAAGACAGGTTTACTTGCATGAAAGTTGTATAAGTAAATATTGTTTTCATAGTTTCATTTGTTGACTATTGCCAGGGATAGTACCTCCATAGGAGTCCACTCCATTCCTTGGAAGTGCTCCCACAGACAATGGTTTTCTATGGAGATGATCTTGCACACAATTAACTTTTAAGCAAGTGCAGTATCATGTGTAAACCCGTCTTAAGGGATCCAATGATTCCTCCATTTCTAATGACTCACCTCATACTCCTCTTTTTCTGAAAGAATGTCGAATCCCTCTTCGTGCATATGGTTCTACTGAGCTCCGCGCAGTGGACGAGGCAGGCATCCACGACCATGACAAAACTGCGATAGCCATTCCCTCTGACCTTGCTGTCGAAGTCGAAGTCCGGCGAGATTTGCTTTACGTCAGGCACAATCTTACGGAGGTTCCTCAGGTGCTCCAGGAAAGCCTGGAAACCCTCGTAGAGGCGTTGTCCGTTCTCGGACTCGTCTGTCCGGAAGTGTTCGATGTTGTTTAGAGCGAGTTCTTCCACCAGCTCCCACAAGTTATTCGACGACTTCGCGTCCAGCACGGGGTCTTCGTCCGAATCCATCTCGGTGTGGGAATCACGTTGTGCTGGGTGATCCTCGGCTCCTTCGAGGGTCGCCATGATTCGTAGATATGGCCGCCTCCCGCTTGTGCGTGTTTAAGTGCTCGGGGAGACCAGGATTGCCGATATATCAGGCCTGTATTGCGTTCTCCCCCATTCACCGATCCTTCCATGCATCCCCCGTCTGTCTCGGGAAGCGGAATTTCCGGAAGTTCTTGCTCCATAACAAGAGAGGGCCTAGGAGTCATAAGCTCAGGCAGATGACACCTGAGAGAGAATTGCCCATTGATCGTAAGTTTTGTCAAATTTGTAACTGATAGATGCAGTTATATTTATTCCAAACTGTTAAGCTTATACATCAAGCTAGCGCAAGACTCGTTATGCATGAATCATGCACTGTGCATCAGACCAAACCTATTTTATAAGGCAAGGTTACCTGGACTGCATCAATTTGCTTAATTTGCTCTGCTGGAAAAGCCATTACAGTGTTTTTCACTTGACTCAGACACACGTGCATGGGACGTTCCTCATGCATGAGTGTCGAAGTCAAGTGAAAAAGTGTCTAACTGAATTGAAAAATACTAGCAGCCCCCCTGAAGATGCAAGATTTATGCGAGTACTGTTCAGGAGAGCTGCACAGAAAGAAGTATTCATGAGTATTGATCTAGGAGGAGCTGTTGGAGAGAGCAAGTAGATGCACTCCCATCTGAATCATGTGATGTGAAGGGGTTTGACTGGAGGTCAGTAGCAGCAGCTGTCCCATGATGGTTGGGAGATATCTTTATGCATCACTCTTCTTGTGCCCCTCGGGCTAAATTGGTCCAAAAAATTATGCATAACAATAATTGGGGTCATTATTGTATGTAGTTGGAGCACATGAGAATCTGAGGCAATACCCCCTTGAACTGGGACGTTCAGCAACCCTAGGTTCCCAACCGCTCACGAGCGTACTCTGAGATTTCTCGGGGCCCATCACCAATGTGTTAAGCTTTTACAGGAACAATGTAGTAATACTTCTATAATCTGTACCTCCTCTACATATGAGTTAAATCTGAGCATTAAAATGCTGTTCCTGTGATGAAGAAGCTTTGCCACATGACAGAAATCATTATTTTTTTAGAACAAACCTGAGAAAACAGGCTTGTGCTCTGTTATGAGAACATTGCCAAGAGTGGGCTAATTAGAGAGCACCATTTTCAGTCTATAGGAATTATGCCACTCATACAGGAGGTTCAATATGAACTCCCCCGGACAATAATACTCGATTTCTTTGGCTGCAATTGATTGCCTAATACTCATGTCCAGCTTTGAGATTGCTGGTGCAATTCAGTAAACACTTGCAATAATTAGAATTTTCCTCTGCACACATATCCCGTGAAGCTTTTAATTTAATCTGTCAAGATCTATGCATTGAGTTCCAACAACCCCCAGCATTGCACAACTTGGAATCTCAGTTCTTGTATTGTTCTAAGCTCCACAAATTAATTTGGCAGCTGCATATAATTATTGCTTTCTGAAGTACACAATAATGGCACTTTTTTTAGTGTTTCACCTGATGTGAACAATGTATCCATATGTACTCCATTCATGAACAATTTATTGCATACAATTTTCTGGTACCATGTTAACATACCATATGAATTGCAAAGCAGACTTTGCTTAGGAATTCATAGCAGCAAGCTTTCTGGGTCTATTGAAGTATATAGTCGCAAGGTAATGCTGCCATTCTCTGGAGTAGGGATGTCAATGTGAAAATTGCTGTCTTATCCATTACCTCATATTTGTCTAAGTTTCATTTCCCACTGCATGGAGTCCTGCAGTGTTTTTCAGCTGAATTCAAGTTCTTGGGATACAGTCGTCCCTCGCCACTTCGCGCTTCGACTTTCGCGGCTTAACTCTATGGCGGTTTTTTCAAATACCTGTATATTGGGTAATACGAGTGTAATGGTGACTAAAGAGTGTTATTTCATGTCTATTAGAGCCCTCTAGACATGAAATAACACTCTTTAGTCACCATTACACTCGTATTACCCTATATACAGGTATTTGAAAAAACCGCCATAGAGTTAAGCCGCGAAAGTCGAAGCGCGAAGTGGCGAGGGACGACTGTACCTGGAATGTCTAATGTTCAAATGTTAAATCCATTGTTTCTTTGTCACAGATCTTGGTGTTCGACCAGTGGGGTACACCACCAAAGACCAGAAGTTCATTCTAATACCAGAGATGGTACCAGAATTAATTGTTCCAGATTTATCTGATTTTCATGTAAGTTGAAGCATGTTTTATTGAGGCAATCAGTAATTATGCTTATGTCTTTCTTAGATAATTTGATTCAATATAACTCCAATATGTGCCTCTATTACAGCTGAAGCCATATGTTTCTTACAAAGCACCTGAAGTCAATCAGTCAGCATTCACTGCTAAGGATCTCTTTGATGCAATATACAGCAGAAAAATTACAGAAGACTTGAAGTCAGGGAACCTTGATGAACAAGGAAATCCAAAAGCACCCAGTGTGGAGGAAGCCCTCACTGTAGAGGAGGCATTATTGCGAAGCAAACAGACTGGGAGTGATTTGTTTACAGAGACCTGGAAAGATGTGCCCAACACATATGGAACAACTTTAGAGACTGAGGAAGATATCAAGAATTTGCAGAGGTGGTTTGCAAAGAAGAACTTTCTTGAAGACAAACTATGAGGTTTTCCCTGACTGTTGGCAGAACTGTTAAAATTATATGCATTGAATGAATGTTTTGTCCATCTGTCATGTGATCATTTTAACTGTTGATTAATTTTGTATAAGGATTTCTTGTACAAGCAACAACGAAGCAAAGGTTTTCCCTCTCAGGTTATTGAAAAGTATTCATCTAAATTATGTTGGTAGTGAAATGTCCAAGTGCAGAGTATGAAGTATTTTTAGGTTGCTCAAAATACCAGCAATGGTATTATGCCATACTCCACTCTTGTGATCCTCTTGTGGATGAATCTTCACTTCAGTTTCAGGTTCTGAAATGAGTTAAAACTTCTCATATATGATCAGAAAGGAAATTTTATTCTGAGCTCTTTTCCTTTCTAAAAAAAAATCTTTGGCTAACACAGCAATGACATAAGCCCAGGTTGCCAGTAGTATTGCCTCATAATTCAGAGAAAGGCTGAGCCACGTTGCAAAAGCGAAATCAAAGGATCACCTTCTGGTGTCTCAAAATAGGATGCACCTACTAAAAATATCTATCTTGGAGGACACTTATTGCTCTATTCTCGTCATCTCTGACCTCCCAACATGACAGCAATAGGCCATAAAATAGAATCATCGCATATACATATATCATATTTCTCTCTGAGTCTCATTAATTCAAAATATCACTCTAGACTGCATCAGTTGATGATTCTTTGAACAGGGGAAGCAATTATCATACCCAAGGACCAACCCTCAGAGCTCTACAACAACACTTTGGAATGATGAGGGTGAAACACTCGTCTCAAACTCTTTAAGGCTGCTGCACCTCTACATTGATATGTCTCTCTCCTATCTACACTCAATGTGTTGCCTAGAGCAAGATTAAGGAAAGGAAGGTGGTTTCTTTGGGAGGATTCATGAGATTTCCATGGATTGGTTTATCAGTGGCTCTTGAGAAGCAGAATTTGCATCCTGAAGGTACTGAACTGGCGGCACCAAATGGGGTTCAAGGATCTGTGGGCAAAGGTTTGCCATGTTTGCATCAAGGGAGGTGCCCATCATTGAAGCATTGGACATAATGCCAGGCTGAGGGTGCAGTCCCATTGAATGGTCACTCAATCTGCATGCTGCCATATTAGAGGGCAACTGATTCCAACCTTGATGAGGAACATTGTCCCATGGATGTAAGTTGCCTCGCCATGGTTCTGGATTTGCTCCTGGCAATGAGCTGCAGAGATGACTAGATTGCAGTTGGAGTCCATGGTTTTGCAGGGACAGAGGTAGTGAGTGGAAAGATTCCCTTGCACCTTGCAATGCTCCCAGTTGAGATTGTTGCTGTGAGGATGCAGTCTCATAGGATTCACAGCTGCTCGATGATCGTACCCCAGGCATGGATGAGGGGAAGGTGTCAAAGGACTCACTTTTCACTGGATGTGGGGCATGCATACCTACCAGAGGAAGGTCAGACTCTGGCAGATGTTGACTCCCTTGGTATGGAAGGTTCCCAATATTTTCAGCAATGGGCTGAAAGTGAACCTCAGGATCCATAACTGGCAGGGGTGGAAGGACAGGAGCCTGTTGTGCTAACTTGTAGCTTGTCTGTCGGACCATCGCTCGTCTCGAGATCTGTTCAGCTCCTCTGTGCATGGCAGCCTGGTTTTGAAAGATCAATCTTTTTTGCTGCAGCCTGTGTTGCATATACTGATGCTTGTACTCTCGAGCCAGCATCACAGGATTGTAGCCCTCAGGCAAGCCAGTTGTTACCTGTGGCAAGTCCTCTGAAACATCAGTATCAGATGACGTGAAACAAGGCTCGATCTTACTCATACCAAACTGCTGCTGTTGGGGCAGTTGCTGCTGCTGAGGCTGCTGCTGACTAGGATCTTCACGACAATAGAGCTGCTGCAACTGCTGATGCTCGTGTCTGAGGGAATTGAGCTCCATCACACCTTTGGCTTTATCACTTTCATTGAGACGTTGTCGAAAGGCAATGACGCCCTGAGCCACTAGACCATCTGAGGCTCGACGCCCCTCCCGGAAGTTGACTGGAGATCGAGTCATGATTCGCTCGGCCTCCATTGGATTGTGTCGAACTATACCCCGACTGGAAGGACTTGCCCGCATAGTGACTGTCTGGGAACCATCAGGAGGAAGAGTCCCTATCTGTGGGGCAAGATGACCCCCAACTATGAGGAGATTGGATGATGTGCATGACACAAGGCTCGATGAGAAGTCGGGCTCAATTTGCGAGTCGAAGCTCTCAAATGTGGAACCAGTGCTTGTAACACTCCCCTGTGGAGAATCATACAAGTAGCACTGACTAGAGGAGTCCCCAGCATGGGCTTGGGCCATTGTCCTGAGCATGGGTGCATGACTTGTGTGGAAAGAAGCATTGCTATCACAGATACTGACACTGCTGTCTGACATGTCTGTCTCCACACCTTCGTCGATTGATGTACACAGTCCTCCCTTGACTGGTTGGCTTGAACCGCGCTGGCGATTCCAGAAGACCGCAGGTGAGGGAGTCTCTCCCATACACATGGAGCCTTCCATCCCAGCAGCCTGGCTCTGCTGCTGCTGGAAACCCTCTCGGTCTTCGTGCACCACATCCAACTTTTCCTTCCCGATCCGAGTCAGAGAAAACCGACTGGAATTCCCTAATTCCACGGGTTGAGCAGGGTCTTGAGCTGGGGGCAGGAGAGGAGGCCGGGATTGTCGGGATTCCATCCCTTGATCAGGGCACGTCTGGGTTCGAGAGAATTCGTGGATGACCCGCGGCGGGGCTGAACCGCCTGATATGTTCATCTTTCGCATCGCCTGCTCGGCAATGGTGCTCGGTCGACGCCTTTCTGGATCCATCGAGTGACTGCTCCGATGCTGATGCAATCTCTCCAACAACAGCAGGTAGATCCCAGCATGATGGTCGTAAGTCTTGTTCAACACCGACTGCAGCAAGAATTGCGTGGAATGACATGGCTTGAACAGCAAAGGCGTTATCTTTATCAACTTTAAAATTACTGTAATTTAAATTTTGCTGGAATCTTTTCCAATTCTATTACTTAGAGCTAGTGGAATCTGCTATTACTTTAAGATTAGGTTTGAACTCCCTGAAAACACAAACCAACTTTTACTGTAATATGAAGGGAATACCTGGCGAGTTTTGTTGGTATCGATCCCTAGACTCTGCATGAGCCTGAGGATTTGTTCGTTAGGTTCAGCTTGTCGGTCAGGTAGAGGTGGAAGGAGCTTAGGATGTCCATCCATGAGCATCCACTTGTGTCTCTTCACCTGATCCAGAGTGTATCTCTTCGCCGGATCCAAGACAAGGATCTTCCTGATCAGAGACTCGCACTCTGCAACACACATGTGGAACGAAAGAAATATGAGTTATACCGTCCATCATCATTTCTACCAACACAACATGGTCCGTCAACATTTCTTTCTTTCATCGCATCCTTTACTCTTGATCTAACTCAGGGGTGGGCAAACTTGTCGAAACTCGAAATGCTGCCGTGGGCCCAACTCTGACCTAACTGAACAAGAAAAATCTCGGTGAAGCCTGCAGACGAATAGATGAACTGTTTCTTCAAGACGTGTTACAGTAGATTGAATCTATGACACCGGTAGATCCTTCATGAATTCATTGATAAAAGATAAAGATTATCATGTGAAATTCCTCCCAAGGTCGATGTGAATGAGAAATATCGTATTTGGAAGCCGAACGCAATAGAAAGCATGCACAAAAGACCGGAACATGAAACGGTGGAGGTGGAGTAAAAATAAACACAATAACCCGGAATGGGATCCTAGAGTTTTATTCAGCCCATGGCTCTTTTAACTCTGATCCCGACTGGTCTCGTATAATGACGTTCGCATGCCTATTCCTAAGATGAGAGAGGACATAGTTCACGTTGTTGGGTCGATGAACAGACCCCCTCTTGTCAAGGTCTCATGCAAAGCACGCATTTCATTGGCAGACTTCCATCTTCTCTCATCACCGAGGAAAGGAGAGCTTTTCTGCTTCACTTCCAATATAAACCTAATAAACTCGTCAAGGGTTCTGGAGAAGATATGATGTAATTCAACAAGTTATAAGATGTTTGTCTATACAGCATAATCCCCCGAAAACCATCGGTCGAGTTTGGAAGGCTGTAATTGGTCTTGTAGGACAGTTTGCTGTCCTACCGATGGAGGGTCAGGAATCCCTCCCATCATTCATTCATCGCAGGAAAAAATCAACCTGACAATTACAATGACAAGATAGAATACAGATGAGAAAAAATGGCAGGCCGCTCGTCACCTCTCGTAAGCACCCGGATCATGGACCATTAACAGCGCAGGGCTGGCTCCCGCTCTCCGGTATTGAATCCATTAGCCGAATTCCCTAGGGAATGGGCCTCTCTAGATGAGGAGAGGGAATGACGGCTGGAAGGAAGGAAGTCGATAAGAATTGTGGTCGATGATCATGATGAGGGTAAGAAGTCCCAGGCATCACGAACACCCAGCCACACACAAAATTAATGGAAGGGGGGAGAAGGGGGGGGGGCCATTGACGTCACCCCATGACGTCATTCCCACGAGTGAAAAGAAGCTCGAGAGGGAAAATTCTCCCTCGCTTTCGATGCATTGAGGGCATACGTACAAGAAGCCCCGGACTGGCTTATTCTGGCTCCTCTCCTTTTAGCCTTTCCATTCCATTTAGGAGATACCCGTTTCTAGCACTAATGGGATTGAAGTCCCCATTTGCGGGATTTATGGCTCGCTTCACTCGATTGGTTCACCGCAGCGATTTATTCTGTCCTCTCAGTCCCTCTTACACGGTCTAACAACACCCAGTTAGAAATTGCGATGAAAGATCTAGGACACGATGTAATGTGCTTTCTCACCCCTAATTATTTATGGGTAGGGAAGCAACAGAAAATCTCGACATTCACATTTCTCAGCCAAACAATGATACTGGTCCTAGATAACGTATCCGTAGCGACTACATTAGAAGAGGGAGAGTTTTCATTTTCTTTCTCTTATGTTCCCATCTCCCGCTTCGTGGTAATCAGAGCCAGTGAGAAATCACTGAAGAGCAAGGCGGGCACAGCATCTTTTCATTATTTTCTCTTCACCGTCCTGTTCCTTTTCCTCGCCATCCCTCTTCATTCTCCCTTCCTTTTTCTTTCTCTCATCCCTCTCTCTGGGCCCATTCATCATCGTCTTCATGACGTCATTGGCTCTCCCCAGAGACCTCGTCGATATCGCGATAGTCGCTCTATTTTGGCTCTTTTATTCCTCTTCTCTGACAAGCCCGTTAAGGAAATTATCTCTCCTCATACTAGTTGCCTTTGTTATTCCTCGACTTGAAAGAAGTTCTGTACCTCAAGGTAATGAACTGCCATGGTAAACATCAATTCCGCTCGCCCGAAAGCAATCTCACCTGACCAATCGTGCCCTTTTCACTTTATTTTCTCCACGAAAACACCTCTCCATCATCAAAGAGTTTTTTTTTCCTTCAAAATAAAAAAAAGTATTTTAATCGATTCTTAACTTCTTCGCTGCTATGGAGGCTACAGTTTTTGAGATCTTTCCCGTGGTTGGGGGAGACTCTCTCCTCTTACATAACATAAGAATCTGGGCCCAAGAACAAGCAGCTGAGCTCTGAACGTATTTTTCCAAGAAGAAAAAATTGAAATAAACTTCACCCTGGACAAGAGGATATCAAAGCAACATTTCGGGAAGGCTTTTTTTCTGACCAACAATTGAACAAATACGAAGGCATTCTTCTCCCCGAGGAGGGGAAAGCCTATCCGCCATGAAGTACTTCACCTGGGGCTCTCATGCTGGGATTCTGCACATGTGAGGGTCACCCAGAGCCAAGAGAGGTTTCAAATCTCTGTATCCGGCGAGGAAAGCATTTGGCCCAGGAAAGTTAGGACCAATTCAAGGAATTTCCCTCACTCTCACTGAAGTAGCCGGTCCTGCTACTGGAAGTAGGAGACGGAGACTCACCGGTGGACATGAAATACGGGATGCGGAATCGTCCAGAGAGGACTCGGTCCCTCAGCGCGTGCAGCGTCGTCCCGTCGAACGGCAGCGTTCCGCAGACCAACACGTACAGCACCACTCCCAGGCTCTGTAGCATACAACATTCCCATCCGGTCTAGATTTCTTTCCTTACTGGTCGCGTCAGATTAAGGAGGGAGGGGTGAACTTCATCTTTCCACTGCACTGACATACAGATATCTAGAATTTGGCCAATCCGACGTGAATACCAGGACAAGAGAGAGAGGCTAATTCTTTACCTCGATCACATTTTGCAAATAATAGAGGAAGCCGTGATGCTGCCGGAAGTCCAGGAACCTTTTGAACCGTTCTCGTAATTTGCATATAATAATTATAACACTGAATGGCCCTCGATGGCCATTCGGTGCTATAATGTCCCACATTCACAACAAATTATCCGAGAAACTCCTCCTTAATTAACTTTTTCTTGTTTCTTTTAATGTTCTTTCCACATGTTGAACCCACATCAAAGCTCACATTCTTAAGTAAATAGCCTGAATAAAATAATGTGGGCGTTTTATTTGGAAGTCAGGTATTTTTCTGCCCTATGGATCCAACTCCCTGGGCGACGCTGAATTTGTCTTCGACATCCAGTGACTTTATCGGTTTTACGAACCAATTGCAGTGACATTTTGAGTGACAAACTATGCAAGCAAAACGCGAGCTGGAAAGGAATTGGGTAAAGTGGGTCCGAAAACAAACTTTTCATCAAACTGAATCCCCCTCTTTCATCCTCATGTATTAGGTCCGTCCCAAACTTCCATGAATAATGGCATACTGTTGGATAATTTTTTTTCCGACTTACCGAGAAAAATCAACTGACTTCATTATATAACCCACACCGCGATTGGCTGCAATAGATCGCGTGATCCGTGATATCTGACGTCAGTCTCGGGGGGGAAAGGTGAAAAATGATCCACTATATCATGCCAGATGGCGAGATTGGGCATACCCAGAGATCGATTTCGGGTCCGGTGTATTTCTTCCCTTCGAAGACCTCGGGGGCGGCATAGGGGGGGCTCCCGCACCACGTCGCCAACTGAGAGCCCGATGCGTAGTAGTTGCTGAAGCCGAAATCTGCCAGCTTCATGTTCAGCCCCGAGTCCAATAACAAGTTCTCCGCCTTACAGAGCAAAATTCAACGGAAATCATTAGAGATGCAGCCAAAACGTGCCCAGCCGTACCCTGCATTGATACAATCGGCAATTTTCCGCGTTAAAAATTAAGGAGTCAGAATTCATGAATTAATTAACTGATTAAAGCTTTAACCGCTAATTACAAATGCAATCTAGATTAATCGAGAAAAATTGACAGGATGATGCATGTATTTTTTCAATCAATTACGCCACAGGTGTAAAGCTTAAAAAAAAAAAAACAACTAAAGGTCAATTAGATGATATGGAATCAAAATGGCGGGATGTACAAGCGATGCCAACACATTCAACGACTTCGTTTTCATCGCCATGCTTTGAGGGGACTACAGACGGAAACAAGTAATCGAACGATCGATATCATTAATCGGATTAGGTAATCTAAAAGGTATTCCCCTTCTCTCCGCGTAACCAGCTGAATATGAGAGTCTTCCCCATATATCCCGAGCGTTAATTCACAAACAATGTCATTTCCTAGGAGGAGGACTTGATTGAAATTTGGTAAGCTGCCAAGGCAAGACAAACGCCAAGGAAAGTTACGGTCAGAGTTGTTAGGTATCGCGAGCTCAAAGTATCTTATCTAGAGAAGAAAATTCTTATCGCATATCGAAACCGGACAGCTCCGCCTGCCGTTCAACGAATGACCTGATCCCTATTATCATGGAAAAAATGCGGATCTTGCGAAACACGTCTGGTTCCTCGAACAAGCGAGACAACAGGGCTAACCCTCTCGCCAGTGACCGGAGAGCAGTCTCTGTTGACTCCCAAAGTGGGCCTCGGCTAGTTCTGGTAACTAACGAGCCTTGCGCATACCATCAGTAAGCTCTTTCCATAATTCCGGCCTGGGCCAATTGCCCTGTCCATACTATTATTACACGATGAGGGTCATGATGAGCCCCACACTATTGTGCATACATATTACCATATTGGACAAAAGACGGTCGATAAATCAGATGATAATATCGCGCGCACACACGCAACTCATATGTTATGACTGCAGTTCCTCTGCTTTTATTTCGGGAAGGGGAGGCTTCTGATGACGGTCGATAGCTGGAAATGGCTGGATTGCTGATAGTCTCATGAAAAAATAATCAAAATACACTAAACCAAAATGAAGTTATATAACTCTGGTTCGTGGAACTCAGGGAATTTCATGAGCCATTCTGAGGATTTTGTGGCCTCACAAAATTACCGTGTCGCGCCGGCTCCTAAGAATTACCCAGAAAAGTGATACTAATTCTCAGTTCTGTGATGCCGAAAGGCCATGTGCAAAGTAGTGAAACAACCCCTCTCGTATCGCGATCGCGTGGCTGCAATGCTGACGATCTCCCCTTAGGGAGAGTCCAGCTTTTGTGCATATGGAAAGGGTCTTTCAATGACGAGAACGTCAGAGGCAATGACACGAAAAAGGGAGATATAAACGCAATGGTATCATCAAGCCACAGCAGACAGGCATTGGCATAGCTAATATACGAGAGACCTTTATTATACACGAGGGCAGACGAATCAATAGCGGCTCCTTCTCCGTGGTAGACAAGACTCGGGCCTCCTCGCCCTACTCTTCACAACTTCGTTCGCAAATACAAAATACAGGGTGTAACAGAAGTCGCGAACCATAGGGTAATTAATAGTATTTTTTGTTGTTGAAGATATGATTAAGAAATTAACGAAAGACGAACGTGTTGAGATAGTTTTGATGTGCGCAAGGCACAGAAGCTCTCATCGAACAGTTGCAGATGAATTCAATATGAAACAGCCAGAATGTTGTGAATAAACATTGCAAGCCTATGGTGCGCAATTTCTGTTACATTCTGTTCTGTTACACCCTGTATACTCGTATATAAGTTTATGCAGAAAACTTAGCGCTTGGGTTTCATTGGAAATATTTAAAAATCTTTGAAGCTCAAGTCTCTTCTAGATTAAGAGATGCAAAATCCTGTACATACTAGTACAAGGTAAAGAACATCTATCACGTTTCACTCTGTTCCTTTTTTCCTCATGCCCTCGGACCTTTCCTGTCATTTCAATCTTACCCTATCACCTTCATACGTCTTCCTACGTAAGCAGAAAAAGCTTCCGAAAAGTCAATCATTTCAGCGAGAGAAAACAAGCACGTGGCGAGGCATCTGATGCTTGAAAAGTAGATTCAAAACGAGAAGAGCCAGGTGGAAAAGAAGAAGAAAAGGACTGGACAAGGACAATCTTGATGAAAGAGGGAAGTAGTCCATTGAGTGGGGGAAGAGGGGGGGGGGGGGGGAGCATTGACGTCATGCTAGGGAATCCGCCAATCCCGACCCGACCATCGAATCCATCAATGAGTCGAGAGAGAGAGAGAGAGAGAGCGAGCGAGCGAGAGAGAGAGACAAGAAATAAGAGCGAAAAATAGGAGCAAGAGTGAGGAGATTCCTGGGAAAGGGAACGCCTCCCCATTCTGCCTTTTCATCCCCGTTATTGGGCGACAATCCCATGGAGATCTCTTACTTCCCTCCCTACTTTCCCCTTGGAAATTTTAATTGTAATTTTTCTTTTTCACTCACCTTGAGGTCCCGATGAACGATCTTCTTCTTGTGACAATACTCGACGGCCGAGATGATCTGCCAGAACTTGCGCCTCGCCACAGGCTCACTCATCCGCCCGTGTTGAGCAATGTAATCTGCACATAAGAAAACTTGGGAATTCGGACGAGAGAAACAAGGAGAACTATCCAGCGCATCGATACAAAAAATTAATTGAAAATGGAGAGCGCAGTGAAGAGCATAGTCCTAGTCAGCTGAAGAGAGCCGACAGGGGGCTCTTTCATTACGGTAGAAAACAGCCGTCTACCCCAGCTGTTCGTTCATCGTTAATTCATTTGAAATTCGCCGCACGACTTGAAGATTTCATAAGACCCGATCCTCCATCCCATCCACGCATACGTGGGAAAGTCAAAGAGGTTTTTTTTTTCATATTTTCTTCCTCTAGCCTTATCTTAATGGTCACGAGAACTTAGCTCCCATCTCTTTCAACGCGTTCATCCTGATGCATCAATACACCTTAGCCGATGTAGTAATTTCTGGAAGCACAATTACATTCGTTCCTTTGTAAGCTCCAGGTTGTATTGCCGTGACTGATTTTTTTATTTCGTTCGAATCAGCGAAGTGATGTCCCTTCGGTTCGTTCATTAGACGAGGAAAAAGCATTGTGTTAGATCAGGGAATTAAGGGGAGGGGGGACGTTGGCACCGGGATAATGGAATGTCTGGCCCCGAAACTCGCTAACTAGGAGTAACGAGTGCGTTGTCATTTTGCATTGCAATGACCAGTTCTCTCAAGTGTTGGTCGCCGTCAGGGAATAGCTGCACGCAGGCGTCTTCGTACCTCCAAGTAGGTGTCCATTAACCGTCTGATCCTCGGGGACGTGTTTATGATGAAAGATATCCTGGTCAATGATAATGAGATTGATTTTTTCCATGCGGTGCTTCTTGGGTCATGGTGACGAAGGGGATTTTCACACGGGACTCTGGCATTCCGTTCCGGGAATTGTAAAGACGCGATTTATCACAAGCTATCATCTTGTCCACGAATGCTGAGTCAGCAGCAGCAATTCCAAGACATACTGATCGGCTAAATACGCCATTACGACACTCTGTGTCTACACGTATCAATGGTCTTCACATCACTCTCCGGGGTTTATTGGTAATCGAAGTATTGTCATATAACCTACCTAATAATTGGCAAACAGCGGGAAGTTAGGGCGGGATCATGAAAAAAAAACTTTTTCACCAGCCCACCGACACAGCTTGTCCATATATTTACACTAATCACTGTTCCCTTTCTTTCGTGTGTACGTATGACATCCGTCTTCTCGATCTTACATTCTTCTTATGACAGATGATGATGGTCTCGCCCGTCACCAGGAATCACAAGGTTTTCCCATCACGCGCATGTCCTCGCGCGACAAGTCTGACAACTCAAATTCGTGCATTCTTATTCCTGATTGATGAATTTCGCATTTGCTTTACCTTGAATGAGACGAGTTTCGAGACCACAGGCATCGATAGACCAGCAGCTGTTAAAGGTTTATTCAAACCTCTCGTGTCCAAGTGTGCAGCACCTCAATCAGTTTCAAATACAATACATAATTCGACAACGAGGCCAATTTAAGACTCTAAATCGCATGACATTCGTTGCGTCTGCACTAGAAACGGCGTCTTCAGTCGAAATTCACCGCTGTTACGGAGCAGCAATTTGGCGGAATTGGCACAAACTTATGTTGTGACTCGAAAAGAAAGTTTGCCCTCTCTCGCCCTCCAATGACGCCGATCTAGCACGGTCATAACTCCCGAATGGCAATCTGCCAGCTCCATAACATTCCACCCACTGGGACAGACTGTGTCAACCGCCAAATCCGCAAATTTCCGTTTCGTCGGAATCCACGGACCTGGGCGTCGCAGCGACAGCCTTGGCCGGTATTCAATCACTGCCGGACCTTTTTCACATTTGCGAAGAAACGTGGGGCTTGGAATCGAATCTAGGTTGCCACCTGGAATTAAGATTTTCTTTCAGATTTAAATGTCTTAGATGAGCCAGGTGTCTGCCATCAAGTGAGGCAGTGAAATTTCATTTGAGACATCAAGTCTCTAATGAAATTTCGCAAAGCCCTGCAAAGTGTATCACTGAATTCATTGATAAAAGATAAAGATTATCATGTGAAATTCCTCCCAAGGTCGATGTGAATGAGAAATATCGTATTTGGAAGCCGAACGCAATAGAAAGCATGCACAAAAGACCGGAACATGAAACGTTTTTTGTCCCGACAACCCCCCCCTTCCCCCCCCCCCCCCCCCCCTCTCTCCTTAGACGACATAATTATATGCTAAAAAGGGAAGAAAACGGAATACGGATGTAAGTCCCTTCTCGTCCTGATACGATTCTCTTGTCTTTCGGTTCTCTTTCATGTCTCAGCCAATTATATGAATGATCAGACGATAAGAGGGAGAAAGAAGCCGCAATCGGATCGTCCAGGCGAGAAATCTCATTCCCACCCCTGGCATCTTTCTTTCCTTCCACGAAGATCTATCGCTATTTACCTCTTCCCCTTTTTGGTCTCGGTTCATTCTCGTCGAAATTCCCATCGGTACTGCTATCTATCGACCATGTCCTTTTTTTTTTCCTCACAAAAATGGGCTTTTCGTCTGCGAAAGAGATCAAAAGAGCGAATGGGTAAGGCCTCGTCTCTCTTTAAAGAGTAATTGCAGGAAATACCGTCCGTCTCTCCACGGTTCATTGCCCATAAATCGCTCATACCGGAGCAAAAAGAATGACTCTTTCTTAGACCTGACATGTCAGGAGGCGGCTGCTTGCAAAAGATTCCTACCGGAGACCTGAAAAATTTATGATCGCAAGGATAGAATATTGCAGGAGCCACTAGAAAAAAAAATGCCGACCTGGGACGAAACTGAAATGGTATTCAGGTGATATCCATCATCAGTAACATGAAACTCATCCAGACTGGATGGATACGCCCTTCGGTACAGTCTCATACACAAACGGATTTACGTTTTCACGAGGATTCTACAATGGTTTTATAATTTTTACCCGAGAAGTGTACTATTGGTATATTGAAGATGAATATATGTATTCCACCATTTCCAGGTGAGTTGATCAAAATAAAAGTGAAAATGAGGGTCAATAAAAGTCAAAGCGAACATCAAAGTCTGAGCTAAAACCATGCTAATTCGTTTTCGCGCTTCTTGTAGAACGAAAGTATGCAGTCTGAACATGAGATGGATCATACAGCTTGCATATACAGTTCTGGCCAGGTGCATGTAAGTGGGTCTGAGAGCAGGTGCCACGGCAGAGGCCATGCTACGTCATGGGGGTCTCATGCCGAGATGGATTTTCCATAGAGCAGGGAAGCATACAAAGAGAACAAAAAGGAATGGATGGAATCCGTGCGGCCGCCGGAAACTAAGAGATCAATCAATGCATCAGTTATCCCTCAATATGTACAGCCTCATTCTATGGTGGTCGTTCTGCTTTCAGCTGTAGAATACGAAGATATTACCAGCTCATGCACGCAACAAACCTCTGACGTTCGAGACACATTTGAAGCATGTGATCAGCATTGATCGTGCGGCTACATGCATAAATAGCGAGTGCTCTGCCTGTTCGGCTCCATTTCGAAATATGAGTCAACGGTTGGGCACTCTCGAAGAAAAGCTGACGGCGGCATTCAGAGAGAGCTTTCTCAACTTCAATTAACGGCCTCATCAGGAATCTCGATCCAGTCACAAAACTAATAATGACGCGATTTGCAGATAAGGTTATATCAATTGTTTGACTCCTTATGAAGGCATTTAGGGCGAAAGAGAGGAAGGAAATAGATTTCCTTTTCCTTTTTGCATTATTAGGCTTATTTAGTTATCCGTGATCTATTGTTCAGAAGCAGTGATTGGTTCTTTGGGACGATAAGATGGCGGAACTCGAAGAGCTTTACATTTACTTGATTAAATCTCCGGCAGGAGGGATCCTGGTCTCCTACATTAGCTGACAACCTTCCAAGAATCCCACATATATCCTTCAATACAGCTTCACATACGCTTCGAGCCAAACGAACCAGCCCGACCCATACGATAGGGACAAATGGGCTAAAGGACTGGCGTCCCCGAGTCTGCGAGATTCGGAAGGAGCCTCAATGAATCCTCTGACGCATGTCTCATGGCATCCAGTCACCAGCCAGTCCCATCTCTATCGCAACAGCCGCAAAGGTGACAGGTCCTCGCCGGGTCCTGGTCCTATGCCTAACCAATGATCAAGCCCTACAAGCTCAGCAAGTACGCAAGTACAAAAAAAAAACAGCGCCATGCAACGGTCAAACTCAACGAATATTGTGGTCATGGCATGTAAATGACCTAACGAGAAGCAGATGAGATCGGCTTGCTATTCACCAACAGCTCAATCATGCGGAAACGAACGTCGATCTAATCAACTGCCTCAGGTTTTTGTTCCTGCCAACCTAGGACCTGCAACTGGAAAATGGATTATACTTCCCACAGACGAATTAACCCTAATTGACCTCATTTCCGTTCGATGCTACGTCGGACCTCGCTCAACAGCTGAAATTCGGGCCCCGGAGACCAATGCTCATGCCAAAAATCGGCAATTAAATATTAATAGCCGAGAGAAAACCCGGAGCAAAATAAGACGGTCCAGCTCCTCAAGCCTCAGGGGCTAGAATTCCCTTTTTTTCTCTCTTAGGCGCGCCCGATCCGTTCATTTCACAGAACTTCTTGCTATCCTGTTGATGCTTTGGCTTTCTGCATTCAGATGGAAATGCACGAAACGACGGGAAAAGCCATTTTAAGGCCCCACTCTATTTTCTTCGTTGAAAAAATAAAACAAAGTCCTGAGAATCGCTGCAACCAATTGTTGCAAAATTGTCCAAGTCAAAGGAGAAAACTTACCGAAGATCTCGCCCTGACTTGCATATTCGGAAACCAAGTAGATCATGTTCTTGGTCTCCATCACCTGAATCAAAGGGGATAAAAAGAGAGGGAAACATTATGGCGTGCGGATAATGAGAATCACATTATCCAAGGATCAACATTTCGGACATGTTTCCCTCGTGCTATTCCAGGAAAAACGTCAACAAAAAAAGGGGACGAGATAACACGCAATAAACGACGCACTCTTGGTGAAAGAAAAAAAATAGTTCCGGATTCGTATAACAATTTTTTTAAAATGAGCTTTGAGATATTGGATTCCCTGTCATTACTTCGATAAAGACCTAGAGAGCCAGTGATGCACACACCATGGCTAACCGACATTGGAATGGGGGGAAAAACGTCAATCCAAGTCATTTTCATTCCAAAGTATAACATTTCCTTCTCCTTCCTGAAATTCCTTTCCCTTCCCAAGGCTTCTGATCTCATTCCTTGGGCGGTTTGGGAAACGGGATGGAATAGCGTATTATCTGGGACGTACTTAGACAATAATGGTCCCTTTGCGAGACAGTGAGTCACACTGGCAAGGTACCAAAGGGTTCTGAATGATCCCTTTTCCTCCGATCCCTCGAGTGCGTGTTTGAAGAAGATGGGAAGACGAAAGTGGGATCAAGGAAGAGGGGGTAGTGACGTCAACGCCCCACGTCTTGACGTCAGTGTCTTGGTGTCACCTGCCAAGGAAGCCCCATATGTACACAAACACACACACATCCGACACCATTTCGGAATCCATCTTTCGGTCTGAATCCCGCAATGGCGTCAAGGAACACGTTCCCTCTCTGTTCTAATTTCCTCTCGTCTTAATCTACCATTCCCATAGGTACCATAGGAAAATGGCAGATACTGCGATCGGTCTGTCACTTTCTTTTTCTTCTTCATTATGTCTGCCTGAAGTTTTCCATAGCAACCGGACAACTCGACTCACAGCGCATGTGCAACCGTCAGTCTGGTTTGGGGTACTAGTGAATGACAAAATTGTCCAGTTCCCCTCCTGCCCTTACGGATCCATAGTGGACAAAGGGAGAGAGTGGCTGCTCCTGGCAGCGTGGATAGGGTTGCTGGGTGTACTAGTGAGATGCCGCATCTAGCATCCTACACTATATTCTCTCCTCTCACCAAGCGACGCGGGCACGCAAACTTTCGAGGACATTGTTCAGTTGTCCGGGACCGTTCATATAGCCCTACAGCGTGCGAATAACAGCTTTTATTTTTTATTTTTAGTTAGACGTTTAGGATGCGGTGAAGGGAGATAATTCCAGAGGTATAGTGGCCAGTGGAATGGCAGATTTGTACCTGGACTAGTACTCATGTTTTCCCTTGCACTCATTTCCCAAGGGACACCTGTCGTAGTTGTAACCATTCCAGCACATGCAATTTAGGAGTAACCTTTAAATATATGGGCCTATTTTCATCATAACGCACCTGAAAAACCAAAAAGGTCTGGCTGGAGGAAGAAGGTAAATTTGCGCGCATAAAAAAGATGGTCCCAGTAATCCGACTGTGTTGAAGAAATGATTGAAATCGGAGATGCAGTCTCGACGCAGCGACTTCACTCTGACTTTTCTCTTTTCTTCTTTTTTTTTGGAACAAAGCTTTCTTTCTTTGGTGAAAAACTCTTATCTCCTGCTAAATCATCCTCGAAGCACCGATAAGCCTCGCCGCATTTCCAATGAGGCAAGGCGAACTCTGCCTGCAAACATTACTGAAACGAACAGAAGATTGCACTAGGATGAGGTGCATGACTCTAACTGCTTCTCCGACAAGAACTTGGACATGATCGAAATTGGCTTTAAACAGCGTTTGTGATCTCTGCGGCATACTCAGACTCTTGGCCCGAGAATCAATCGATACTTGCTTTTCTTGAGTAAAAGGAATTGGGGTCACCCCGCAACTCTTGTTCAGTCTCCACTTGGTATATTTCTCGGAGATCTAATAGCTTACAAAGTTTTAGCTGATATCGTAACGAAAGAAGTGTTAGCTTTGCTTGACCAATATCGCTTCTGATGAAAGAGCCGATGAGTCAACGAGCCTCAACCACAGAATCAGATCCAACCGCAAGGGCGTTCCCGAAATCGATTTCAGACCGTCTTATCACCCGGAAAATATACACAGACGAGCTGCAATGACGAAAGAACACCCGAGGAAACCGACCCTGAAAAACCAGATGGCGGAAAAGGATTGGAGTCCTATTTCAGTCCAATCGAGTCTTTCGCTCGTGCCCCACTAGATGCCTCTCGTAAGCGAATGGGGACCTTGTCCACATTTCCCCCGCTGAGTAAAGAGAGAACAGATGCCAAGGCTCTCATCCGTCTTCATCTCTCCCCTGAGTCTCCTCCGAATTCGATGCTCAGTCGACGAATGTCTCCAGAGGAGATCGAGTCGAAGAGAGGAGGCAATACCAACTTCACCTAATCACGGCTTCGATGTTTAACCACGAGGGCAATCTCGTCAAATAGTCACTGCGATTTGGAAAAATCTTCCCCTTCTTTCATTTCTTTTTTAAATCTCGCACTGTTGGTCTGTCGTTGCACTTGGAAATCATGCTTGAACTTTATCGGTCTCATCATTATGCTGCATCCGCCCCCCATACTTAATGTGTGTAATCAATAGAAAACAGACATTCATTTGAAAAAAAATCTCGGAGTTGGAAACCCAGGCGAAACTTCTAATCGCCTGATAATGTCGCGGTAATACTCGGTATGTCTAATCTCATTCTAAAAATGGCAGTGTGTAGAACCTCCTGGAATCCAGTGACAAGATATTCTGGGTATTTTTGCTCAAGTTTGAGGATGGGCATTATCGTCACTGATAAGCCAACGATGATGTATTGTTTGAAATCGTTCTGGTTCCGGGTTGAACACGTTCCGGGTCTATCTCTTCATCCGCGCTCGTCTCGGTGAGGTTCCCTGGTTTGGTTGGCGGGAGATTCCAGAGATTTCACGACCAGCGAGGGATGGGTTCGTTGCTTGCTGCGTTGACAACTTGACGATGCGTCGCTTCATTGCCTGGAGACACTTTCGCTCCCTTTATCACAGGCTGGCGCTGCCATTCTGTTTACCTTCACGCTATCTCCATCCGACTCTTCAGGATGGGACGTTGCACGACGATCACCACGATTTCGTCGATGGGTCGAAAGTCGCTCTGATTCGTTCGGTTCCGGCACCTACTGACTTCATTCGTGGTTGATCGTTGAGTCGACCGAATGTGAGTGGAACTGGCGCCGATGCGGGGGAGGAGAGGGAATGGAAGCCCTGGAATCGCCTATTATGTCTGCATCGTCTGGCTCGACCTTCATCTTGTTAACGTCACATTGATTTCCTTCGGTAGAATAGGGCCCCTCCTTGGAATCGCTTGCTAAAAGGCGTCTTGCAGAAGGTATTTTGCGGATCATGACTTTTTGTCGTTATGCTGGTATCTTCTTCCGCAATAAGCCTGACTTCCACGAATGAGTTCGAATCCTTATAAGGAACTGGTTGAAAGAGACTTATCCATAGCATGATTGAAGACAGTGACGTCAAGCTATTGTCCGAGTGCTTCCCGAATCCTGCGTTTTTACGTTTCGGGGTAGAGCATCAGATGAGGAAACAGCGGAAGGCCTGCATGAAACCGGTCTGCTGTGTCAGGAATTTATTTCTGCCGTAATGTCAACTGCTGACTTAGCTTTTAGCCAAATTACATTTCGCCGGCCGGCACCCTCAATATCTTACTGTCGGAATCAGATTAACTTTGTTCAGAGAACGACCTGTTAATCTCACCTCTCCCGTGTTCGTAGGGGTTCGAAGCGCTCTTCAATGGTAGTGCCTAGTACTGTCACCTCGATTTGAAGCGAAAGGAGTATGATGAACAGTGTAGTAAAAGCCCATTCCATTAAGGGTTTGCAACGGACGCCATGAGGAAAAAAAAAAAATCGTATTTAGCCTTCCTGGAAACAAAAAAAACTTTAGTGTCGGGAAGGTGAGAACAAGTGAAGTTCGTACACGATCGCGAGCCGATAATGACCTCGTCTTACGGATAAACTTTTTCTTTTCCAAGAAATGCACAATTTACCCTGGAATCGCTTTCCAAAGAGCCGGAAAAGGTCAATCTACGGAAAAGTCAAACTCATGACCTCGCCGCATCGGCTGGCATTTGCTCAACCCACGAGGCGAGGCTTTTAATTTCCCCTCTCCCTCGCCGAGGCGGAACGCTCGGCTGCGAACCGAAAAAGCCCACACAGGGCCCCAGAAACGGCGGAAACGATTAAGTAATGCCAGAGGTCGAAGCGATGCCCCTGATTGCTTTTTCATCTCCCACCCTTTTCATCCCAAGTCCTCACTCTCATCATCATTGTTCCGAGGTGAATTGTCATCGCTTTGGATACAACACACGAGCCAATCCTCCAGTCTTCTCATCTCTCACATCTGAATCTCAAAATCCTGGTAGATTGGGCGAGTAGTTGAAGCTTTTGCTTGCAAGCGCACTTTGCCCTTCTCAATTCAAAGCGAGAAGTCGAGTAGTCACAGTCATGCTTTGATTGCAACTCGTCTCGTTCCAGATGTTGAGCTTGACAAGATAAAATCCAGTCTGTTACTTGTGTAAAAAAAAAATGGCGAGGCAGAAAATCTGCGGTGCTTCCAAGTTGCAACTGACCCTTGGCATGAAAGACGGTGCCAAATATTCTGATCTGCTAAATATGCGTAAAAGATCATCCCTATAACGAAATGTAAAGCACTGTTGACTGGGGGCATCATGTTACAGCAGGTTCTCACGGATATTCGCTTTGGGTTCGCTTTTGCTGCGCGTTGAACTATGCATGGAATGAAATTTCCTCAAGGTGTAATAAATTAATTCAATTCATGCAAATTAAATTACAAGTATAACAAGTGCCCGGCTCAGGTTGTCACTTTCGTAAGACTGCTGAGCCGATGAAGACAAAACCCAGGAGAGAAAATGATCGATTCTCCACCCATTCCTTCAGCCAAGAAGGCGTCATCATTCTCACATGACACACACCTGCAGGATTTCTCGCGTCAAGGCATATATCTCTGGAGGAAACCAGGCGAAATTTATGAGGCAACAACGATGAGCAATAAGAGCCAAGGAAACGTGAGGGATTACTCTCGAATAGTCATCCATGGAAAAATGAGCCCAGAAGGACGTGATTAACAAACGAAGCCAATCACTCATGCTGCACCGGCTGAGACACGAATACAGATTTCCGATATTTATTACTGTTTCCATGCGAGTCGGAGTTGGGATACTTTTTGTATGACCAAGAAATCATTCACATCGTCGACCATGGCAAATCTGTTTCAAGGGTACGCCATTTATCATCATCATCTTCAAATGTTTGTTCTGCATCCATGATGGGATGCCTGCAGAGTTTCTGCTCGAGACAACGGATGACGAGAGCCGTACGCTTTCCCTTTCCGTACGGCAGGGGGCAAAGAGGGGAAGTCGGCCTCCATTTCGAACGGATCGAGAAACGTCCCACGCCTAAAATAGAACCGTTCAGCCGGAAACTCGTCTCCATCGGAGCAGGCCGACGGAGACGCTGCAAATTCCTTCTTTGGCAACTCGGCAATTTTTTTTCCAGAGTAAAGAAAACAGTGCTGACGCGTTCGAATCGCCGTCAACAGTTTGTTTTTCGTCCTCTCTATGACCGACACAAAGGGGGTCGAGTTTGCATATATCCGCTTCAGCCATATGTGCCAAGGCATTGATAGACGGGTACAACACCAAAGACACCGCCTCGCGTGTCTAAAATATGCAAGAAGTCTAATAAAGCAGGGATCTCTCGGCGATACACGGAGCGTCGTGTTTCAAACGCAAATCGAGAAGAGACTCGTCGTTCGTGCGACACGCTCTTATTCCGAGACCTGGAAACGGCCTGGAACATCGATGAAAACATCAGGAGATACCGCGCACAAGCCCCCATAGCGCGGTCACGAGCTGGAAAATCTCGGCTGACATCTGAGATCGTGTACGAGATTCCTCCCCCATTCTGAGAGCTTTTATCGCGTCATTCAAGGCAGTGACTGTCCCGATCGATACTACACTTTCGGGAGCCGAAACATCCAGCGAGAAATGAGAAGGGGAATTCCCCTGGGACCGGGGTCACAGAGTCCGAATGACACTGCCATTTCCAGTTACCGGATGTGTCGGACTTCAAGTGTTTCTTTTTTCCCAATCGAAAGAGGAAATGATGAAACGAGTCGCAGAAATGAATCTCGGCTCGCAATGGAACCTCAACGCCTCTCGAGCATTATCGGTTATCTTCTTTTCCTCCCCCACCAGACTGCCGGTTCCAGTTTCATTCTCGGGGGGGACGAAAAAAAAGATTAGACGGAGAAATGGTTCACCTGATAAAGTTTGATTATGTGAGGATGAAGTAGCTGCTTCATGATATTCACTTCTCGGTAGACCTTGTGCAAATTCACCTCGTCCAGTTGGCTCTTGTCGATGATTTTGATGGCAACCTGAGGACAGAGGGAATGAGTGCAGGGTTGAAAAGCCGGCAAACTGGTGGGAAACTTCGCGAAAGCGCCGCTTCGTAGATGATGTCATGAACAGGTTCGTGGAATCTTATCTAAATGGCCTTGGCGAGGGAACGGCGTTGTGGGGGGTTAAAAAAATTTACATAAATGCTCGGAAAGAAAAAATTATGAACCGTAATGAATGATGGTCTCGAGGACAAATCCTTTTCGTGGGATATCCGGATCCCGAGAGCATGGAAAAGCGCCGGAGACACGGGAAACGGTAACCCAATCCGAGATGAAAATGCCGACGAAGATACTTAACAGAGGGAACAGCGAGCGTACACACGCACTGGAAACGCCCATGGCGATGGAGCCGGAAAGACGCGATCAAGGTCGCCGCAAGATCGACCCGAACCAACGTGAGTTCCACGTGACTCGCAGACCGCGAATAAATCTCACTTCGGTGCTTTATCGGAAAGAGTTACTACGGCCACGAACTGCCTTTTGTGCCGACTACGCGTTACGTCGAGTTGTATTTTTCCCGCGGCTTGCTCGTCTTGCGTAGTGCCGCGTCTGCTCCCGGTGCGACAATGTTGGACGAGGGCCTAGGAATTCGAAACCTTCGGAGTTCGCTCGAAGGAATCGATGCACTATTCATGTCGCGTGTCCGCGACGAGAATCGTGACGTTTGCGGACTGACAGACACTCGGATGACGATATCAATTTCTTTTGTTCTCACCTCGGTTTTGGTGATGCGATGCCGAGCCAATTTGACGACGGCAAAATTCCCTTTCCCGATGGTCCGTTCGATGTCGTAGAAGCCGACTCTGATGGGCTGAGGAGGCTCGTGGCCGAGTCGAGGCCCCTCCGAAGGTTCAGCCATGACCATTGCTACAAAGAGGGTTCACGGGTCCACAGCAACGACGATAACGACCACACCCCCGCCACACTGCCGCACGTCCTCCCTCGTCGCCATCCCCGTCCATTCTGATCCCCATACATGAGGTAGCCGTGGTTCCAATCCACACACTGAAGCCGCTGCAGCCGACACATCAGAAAGGGGGGGGAGAACCCGAACCCACACACTGAATCGGGACAGGGCTTCTGCATTGACGCAATCCGGTGACGTCAGCTTGACGTCATTGGCGCCTGACATCTAGCGACAGCTAGGGAAACTCCTCGCCGCTAGAGAACTCCGCGGGACCTTTCGGGACCATCTGCTTCACTTTCCGGGTGGATGCGCAGCGCGATGACGATCCTGTCCCGCGAGAATCGGCATCGGCCCGATTCGATGCCTCAAAGAAGGGGAAGGGCGACGCCACTACTGATTCATCCAGGTAGGGACAAGCCATCTTTCCGGCTTATTAGTAGATCCAGATAAGTTGAAACAGGGTGAGCTCACTCATCATCGTGTCCAATCAGTCTCGGATGATGAATCACTTCTGCCGATGATGAACGACGTCACGGCGTTTCAACGTGTCAACTGCAAACACATCCTCTGTCATCTCGCCACACGCCCTTTCCCAAGGCTTTCCGCGTCACCGGCAGTGTGCAAACTCAGGAGAAAAAAATTGAGAGAAGCGGAAAACCACATTGAAGAGGTACCACCACTTCTCTGGCTGCTTTTATTGATTTGGCCGAGAGGAGGGGGCGTCTCGCTAAAATTAGGCGAGAATGAATTGGTGGAGAAGTAAATTGCCGAACGGGAAATTTGTAGAATGTGGCACGTAAAAAAGGGCGCTAAGGTAAAACGTCGAAATGAAAATGGTCGAATCAAACTTTTTCAAGTCATCGAATCCACGAAGTTAACTCTCAAGTCGACCATTTAAAAGTTTAGATTGCGTACAAATGCTCGCAAATACTCCACAGCAATTCAATCGTTGTAATCATTGCATACTGCTTTCAGTCGTGCCTCGCGGATAACGCTTTTTTTTTTGGGCCCATTTCTCGCTTGGCGATCTTCCGTTCCACTTTCTTGCTCCTTCTGTAATGCTTGAAGGAGGTGAAACGCGAATTTAAACGGTGATGCCTGGCCACGGCATCGACAAGGAGAAGAATTCAATGATCTTGTCATAATACCAATACTTGTCTTTGGAGAACATATAGCAACGGAGAACCGGTAGCTTTTCCCTTCTGGGAAACACTGAAACGGAGTTCGCTCCTCTATGCCATGCACTCCACGCATTCACACACCTGGGCACACCATATGGAATGGGAACCAGAATTCAACAGGATCTCAGTATTTCCCTATCGATGGGAGCTGGAGCACACGCTGAAAGATACCAGGTATGACTCAGTCGACTTGTTGGGCTCAATTTTTTGCATGAATTCCAAAATTTCGAAGACTTTTCGCATGCACCTTCTTGGATAACCGGCGAAGTTTCATCCGATTATTGCTTGGGGACAGCGACAATTTTCCTTGAGGACATTTTTGCTTTACGACCTTATCTATTTCGACTTTTTTTGTTTTAGCAGAATCGGAGGGGGTGCCGGATGAAAATTAATAGTGAGAAATCAGGATCATTCAAGCCCCCCACCCCGGCTTCGGCAGTTTAGAGTCAAAGCTCATAATTATCATCGTAGTTCATTTTGAGATTAGGGGCAACGGGAGAAGACAAATTCAATCCCATCATCAGCAAAACGGTCTATAAAATAATAAAGTTTTCTCATTTTCCCTCTCCCCTTCTTCCCTTTCCCTCTTCCATTCATTTCTCTGAGGGCTGCACAGAAATAATCCGAAGACAATTTGCGTATCCCTGCGATATCAATAAATCACGCGCGGCAAGAACGATGGGCGTCGTCGGGTAGGGGCGTGTCGACGCCTCTTTTACGCCATTTTCTACGCCGTTTTCAGTCTATCTTCTCTCCGACTTCTCATGATCTAACCTTGAATTCAATATGGGTTGTGTCGACTGGTCGGCAGGTGGTGGATCCGCCCGAGGAAGGCCGAGATTCCAAATGACTTGAAAGGAAATCAGGATCCTGCTCACTGCTTCACATTGACTTAGACACTGGTTTACACGATTAACTGATAGATTAATTGTAAGTAAATGGGATGTTGTCAGTCGGCAATCGATAGAACCACTGAGTCTAAGTGAATTTCCGAATCAAGCTGAGGTTTTCCACCTTCCGTATAAAAAATGTATCAGGTTCGGACATACGCCTGCATCAAATGCTTCAAATATGCATTGTAAAATAGATTAGTCCAACCCGGGGGGGGGAAGGCGCGTGCGGGATTTTAGCAGAAAGAAAAGTTGAATTTTCTAAGAATAGGGGCTTCCGTTCCGAAAATATAACCAGACAAGAATTCCTCGTTGATTAGCATCCCTCACAAAAGAAGCTGGTTTCCTCCCCCGCAGCTTATGCTGCCCCGAGGAGGCTGGCTCCGAGAACTTCCGATGCATTATATATCTATATGAGGTATATAAATACCCGGACTGGAATATATGAGGGTCGTGGCCATGGCAACGAGGCTCTCTCTCGTCTGGGTCAAGAGACCCATTTCCTGTTTTGGAAACATTTATTATTTTTTAAAATCGTGTTTCGATGGACACCGACGAGGGGGAGGCGACAATTGCTCGGGCAACATGTCGCTCTAGCTTCGTGGCGACACGATCCCCAAGCGAATAACTTAAATTCAATTTTCGTCGAAATTGGCTGGAAATTGCAGCGTTCCTGCCACAAAGTTCGATGCAAAAAATGTGCATTCCCAATTACCCACATCCAATTTCTCTTTGAAATTCGTTCTTTGGGTTCGCCTCTTCCTTCAGATGGTTTTCATGCTTTTTTTTTTCCATGAATGAATTGGTATCAATTCGGAGAATTTGCTCTAAGATTTTCCTTTCGTCTGGAACAAATGTTCAATATCTGATTGATCAAAATTTCAGGAGATTCCATCTAATCTGATATTGCATTATCATATCTGACGCGGATGGCCGTCCGTCGTACCGACGTCAGGAAATTTACGATTTATCATTTATCGAAAAGTTTTAAATAGTGGGAGCGAGTTCGGAACTTCATTTTCCGTTTTCCGTGGCTGATGAACTTCTGGCTCCAATTACAAGCCAATTATAAGTACAGAAATACTTATAAGTACTCCAATTAAAAGTATCGAAGTAGTACTTGTTCATTAAAAGGTTTACAAATGATGAAGCTGCAAAATCGACACGACTCCTTTGAATTAATCGCTAGGAATTAACTACTTACGTAATGAAAGCCTAGCATTCATTAATGCAGTAATAAACCCGCACGAGAGCGAAATAAAAAAAAATCAATCTAAGCTCGTATTTTCTAGTCGGGGAGGAGCCGAATCGCACGAAAGTGCAGAATTCTCCTGGGTAATTTTCCGGGGGTGTCGGAGGACCGAGAGCACCGTGGGTGCTTCTCGGGTGCTCCTGCAGGGTGGATCGAATTCTCGGGTCGATGGGTAATCGTGTCAAGGTTCTCGTCACCTTATCTCGCGTTTCCGCGCGATAACGATGGATTCCGGGATGGAACGACCGATCGGGAGACCCGGAACGCTTCGCCGCGACCCGGAACGGCGTTCCCATCGAGGACGAATGCCTCCTCAGTTTATAATAATTACAATAATTTTTTTTTCGTCGCATCGAGACAGCACGTGTCGCAATGCAATGACGTCACGGTTTTCTATTCGCGTTATAGATTCCAAGAAAATTAATTCGTCTCGACGCGAAGAAGCAAAAAACGGCATGAAGCCATTCTCATTCGAGACGACAGGATGAAACGAGATGACTGGATGACATGAGATGTCAAGATGACATGAGATGGCAAGACGGCATGAGATGGCAGATGGCATGAGATGGCAGGGCGACATGAGATGACAGCCCCCCACTTTTCCGCTCGCTGCTCGAAATCGCTAAATCAAGAATCCAGCAAAATCGAGAATTTCAATCGCCGTCTTCGTTCTCACGTTTAATTATATATTATAATATATTATAATGAATAGATAATAATTCATCGAAATGAGGTCACAACCATTGAAGCGCTGCTGAAACAGCCCCGGCCGAAAGCCAAAATGGTTTTTCCAAAAAAAAAATAAGGTCAAAACATATGAGATGATACAGCGAGTGACTTCGTCGCTCAAATTCAACGTCATTTCTTGACGTCAGCCGAGAAGCAATTTGCAAATGCGATTATTCCTCTCCAGTGCTTGTTTGTAGGAAAGTGGCAGTGGGAGCTTTCTTTTTTCTGGCCTCAAATGGGAGCTTGAACTTTTTCGAAGGCTCGCTTTGGAGCAACGTAAAGCTGATTTTAATTTTAATTTTTATTTTATCTGGGGTCGTGGGAAATAGGAAAAAAAGAAGTGAAATCAGGCGTGAAAATATGAAAAAAAGCCATCGTTTCACCCCACGTGATTTTTTGGGGGCGTCTCAAATTTGTCGGATGCGAGAGGGGTATGCATTTAACAGAATTCATTTTAAGAATTCCCCCCCATATATATATATATTTTTTTATTTATAGCAGATAATGCGAGAATCTGGTTGGCGCAGGTTTTTTCACGAGATGCGTGGGGCGGGGCGGGGCGGGGCGGGGGTGGAGCGCCCTTGGAAGAATCGTCCACAAAATAATTAGTCTTTTTTTTTTTTATACATTTTTATCGCTGCTATACGAAACCACAGCACGTTCCGTCGTGGAGCCTGGCATCAATAACCCAGACAATTTCGAGATTCATCCTCTCAGCTATTTTTTTTTCTCCTCTCGAGGAAGTTTTTTCTCTGTTTCCTCTCTCAAATCCTTCTTGGTCTTTCTGGGCGATAGAAAACACACGAGACACGTTTCCTTGGCAGAACGGGATCTGCGTGGATTCCTCTGGGTCCTTTCACCAAAATTTCAAAACAAACTTTTTTATTTTTATTTGCTTTCGGGCAATAAGCAACTATTTGATGAAAAAAAAACTGCTGATGTGACGGTTGTGAAACGCGGGGTTTATTTAAAGAATGCGATGCCAGCATTTTCTAATCTGGTTAAACTGGTATATCAAACTCTGACGGCAAAATCATCTTCGACTTTTTTTGCCATCTTTTTTTTTTTTTACAGCACAGCTTGAATCAATAAAAGCCAAAAAATGGAAACAGGTTGC